AAAAACAGGACCCAAAATTAAAAACCTAAATACACGGTTAGATTTGGAATATCAAAGAACCCCAATAATTCAATTTTAGATGAAATCAAACAAAGTTTAATTTTGGACCCTTTTGACCTCAATATGAACCAATTAGATAACGGGGTCCACAAATAATAAATCTAAATACATGTTTAGATTCAGCATATCAAAGAACCCCATATATTCAATTTTTGTTGAAATCAAACAAAGTTTAATTTTGGACCCCAATTTGGACCAACTTGAAAACTGGACCCAAAATTAAAAATCTAAATACACTGTTAGATTCGGCATAACAAATAAATAAATGTGATCAAAGATTTTACAAATCTAATGCGCCATACTGTGCAATTAAAGATTACTTCTTGAAATTTTTCAATATTTGAAATTTGAAAAAAAAATAATATTTGAAGAATAATTCTTTTTAATTTCTGAAATCTGAAATGAGAAAAAATTGGCCCCCCACAATTTCTTTTTATCCCCCCCCCCCTTTTTCCCCCAAAAAAATTCTTTCCCTCAAGATATGGTCATAATCTCAATTCAAATTTCCAATGGAGTTGGCAACCATAATTACCCATTTAAATTTACCATAGTGCTAACTTAATCTATTTTATAATAGAATTAATAAAAATATAGTGTCAAATCTTTCATATGGATTTTTTTGTAAAAAAAAAAAAGATGAAAACATTTGCAGATATTTTTACTGGTCTTCCTTTATAAATATGCATTTCTTTAAACATAATTTAAAAGCAGTGTAAGGGAAGTAACCAAAATGTTGTATTTGGATTACCTCCCTTACACTGTTTTAGATTATCTTTATTGTTCATTAACCATTACTTTATACATAATTTAAAAGCAGTGTAAGGGAGATAATTTCAATGATGTATTTGATTTATCTCCCTTACACTGCTTTAAATTATGTTTTGTACTAAAGTATTTGTCCATTAACAAGGACAACCTTGTTTTTCCCCCTTTTTTGCCCCTAATTCCTAAACCGTTTGAGCCATAACCCCCCAAAGCAAATCCTAACCATCCCTTTGTGGTATGGAAACTTGTAGTATAATTTCAGAGAGATCCATACACCGTTCCACAGTTATTGTCTGGAAACTAGAAAATGCTCATTTTTGGCCCCTTTTTGGCCCCTAATTCCTTAACTGTTGGTACCATAACCCCCAAAATCAATCCCAACCTTCCTTTTGTGGTATTTAACCTTATGGTCAAATTTCAAAAAGATCCATTCACTTAAACTAAAGTTAGAGTGCGAAAACCAATATGTATTCGGACGACGACGACGCCGGACGACGACGACGACGCCAACGTCATACCAATATACGACCACAAAATTTTTTTGCGGTCGTATAAAAACAGCAAAATTTCCTTAAAATTACCAATTCAGGGGCAGCAACCCAACAACAGGTTGTCCGATTCATCTGAAAATTTCAGAGCAGATAGATCTTGACCTGATAAACAATTTTACCCCATGTCAGATTTGCTCTAAATGCTTTGGTTTCAGAGATATAAGCCAAAATCTACATTTTACCCCTATGTTCTATTTTTAGCCATGGCGGCCATCTTGGTTGGTTGGCCGGGTCACCGGACACATTTTTTAAACTAGATACCCCAATGATGATTGTGGCCAAGTTTGGCCCAGTAGTTTCAGAGTAGAAGATTTTTGTAAAAGTTTACGGACGACGGACGACAAGTGATGAGAAAAGCTCACTTAACCTTTCAGGTCAGGTGAGCTAAAAAAGGAGAGTAGGGGTTACCCCAGGGGACTTCCCCTAAATTTAATTTGCTTTAATTTATTGTCCCATACAAGTACATATATGGTTTAAGGGTGGGGATCTCAACCGTTTACAAGTTTTCAAAAAGAAGGGGGTAGGGTTTACCCCCGTGGACTTGCCCTAGAATACAAGAATATAAATGGTTTCTGGGTGGGAATCGTGACCGTTTACAAGTTATCAAAAAAAAGGGGGGTAGGGGTTACCCCAATGGACTTCCCCTATATTTCAATCAGAAAACAGAAAATTTTCAAATAAATCTGTCACTCCAATGATTATCATATGCTAAAATATTTCAAAGATCTAATCAATAATGAAAATAAATCATTATCATATGCTGAGATATTTATAATATCTAATTGAACAGAACTATGGTTGTTTAACATAGTACTCTAACATAATTAATAATGTAATAATCTTCAAAATGTCTAATGATATAGCTTATAATCATTACCACTTAGGAAATAGATAATTTTCAAATAAATCTGTCACTCCAATTTTTATTCTGAGATAAGACAAATTATAAAAAGATAAAAACAGTAAAATATTTTAAAATTCTACTTTTGGATATTAAAAATGGCGATAACTCACAAAGGAGATATACTAATATCTTGAAAATTAATAGAGACCTTCATTAAGTCCCAGGAAACAACATATTTAAATTTGAAAAAAATTTGTTAAGCGTTTTCATGTTATTGAGCCAACCAGCCGCCCGCCGTATATAACCATTTTAATAACCGATATTTCCTTCGAAATTCCGGTTAAAAAGTGTTTCTCACAATTAGGTGCTAACAATTACCCCAGCTGTTGTCATAACAGCATCACACGATTTGGATGGTAATAACTTTTATAACAATGCATTTGCTTCTTACAAACAAGTGAACAACCTTTCAATCACACAATGAGCCAACATATTTTACCAGGTGATCAGTTTGTAGAGATGAATTTAAACTGCAATTTTTCATTCATGAAACAAAATCTGGACATGCGCTTGAAAAAACCCAAAAGCAAAGAACATCACTTTTATATATATAAATCCCCCCCCCCCCTTTTTATCATAGCAATTAAAACAATTTGGTGTATCAAATTTTCTTTCAGAATCAATTAACACTATTTACCTTCCAGCGCATGTTTATTTACATTCTTTTAATCACGAGTTTTCCCTCGCATTTGCGCAGTATGGTTGTCGAAGTACTATCAAGAGGTCTCGTGGTTAAGGTCACTGCTTACTGAAAAGCTATCGGCGAATTAGAGTACAGAAACAATTATTCAACAGCAGCAAATTTCTTAAAGATTTTGATGAGATAAAGGGGAGTTCATGTACACTTTTTATAGTAAAACTTGAGCCATTCAAGTATGTAAAACATACTCAACTTCTTTTTTAATTTGAAGTATCATATGACTTTAAAAGTATATTTTTAATCAGAATAAAATGCTCCGCTGGGGCGCAGCTTGATACGACTGCAGAGGTCGAACCCTGAACAGTTGGGGCAAGTATGGACACAACATTCAAGCTTGATACAGCAGTGAATTTGGATTGTAATTAAATATTTGACACAGCATAGGTTTCTGACACAGAATGAAAGTGGACTAAGAACTTAAAAGTTTTCAATTTACCTATTCAAACCATATCATTATTATTTGCTTTTATATATAAATCAGAAATAACCAATTTAAAATGGAAAATTCTAAAGAAAAAAAAGGAAAAAAAAATCCCCCCCCCCCCCCCAAATTTTTTGAACCCCCTTATGATTCATCACTTCAAAACTCAATCCCAGCCTTCCCTTTGTGGTATTGTACCTTGCAGTACAATTTCAGAGAGATCCATACACTTGAACAAAAGTTATTGTCTGGAAACTAGAAAAATGCTTGTTTTTTGGCCCCAAATTCCTAAACGTTTAGGGCAATTACCCCCAAACTCAAACCCAGCTTTCCCTTTGTGATATGAAACCTTGCAGTACAATTTCAGAAAGATCCATACACTTACACACAAGTTATTGTCCTGAAACTAGAAAAATACTTGTTTTTTGCCCTTTTATGGCCCCGAATTCCTAAAATTTTGAGGGAATTACCCCCAAAATCAATCCCAGCCTTCCCTTTGTGGTATGGTACCTTGCAGTACAATTTCAGAGAGATCCATACACTTGAACACAAGTTATTGTCTGGAAACTAGAAAATGCTTATTTTTAGCCCCTTCTTCCCAAGCTTTTTGGTCAATTACCCCCAAACTCAATTCCAGCTTTCCCTTTGTGATATGGAACCTTGTAGTACAATTTCATAAATCCATACACTTACACACAAGTTATTGTCATGAAACTAGAAAAATGCTTGTTTTTTGCCCCTTTTTGGCCCCTAATCCTAAAATTTGGAGGGAATTACCCCCAAAATCAATCCCAGCATTCCCTTTGTGATACGGAACCTTGTGATACAATGTCAGAGAGATCCATACACTTACACACAAGTTTTTGTCATGAAACTAGAAAAATGCTTGTTTTTTGCCCCTTTTTGGCCCCTAATTCCTAAAATTTGGAGGCAATTACCCCCAAAATCAATCCCAGCATTCCCTTTGTGATATGGAACCTTGTGGTACAATGTCAGAGAGATCCATACACTTACACACAAGTTATGTCTGGAAGTTACAAAAATGCTTATTTTTGGCCCCTTATTCCTTAGCTGTTGGTACCATAACCCCCAAAATCAATCCCCACCTTCCTTTTGTGGTATTGAACCTTATGGTAAAATTTCATTGAGATCCATTCACTTAAACTAAAGTTAGAAAGCGAAAACTAATGTGTCTTCGGACGACGACGACGCCAACGTCAACGTCATACCAATATACGACCACAAATTTTTTTTTGCGGTCGTATAAAAATTTGGAAATTCTGAAAATTCACACATGTAAACAGCTCTTGCTATTTGAGGGAGGGTTAATGCACTATAGCTCACAACTAGGAGTTGGTTTAAAAGAAAAAGAAGGTAGATAATTTTGCCAGGCATTGACTTACATTTAACCCAGATAAGCTATTTTTAGTCATAGTTTGATGACACAAGTAGAAAGTAAACAGATGCTTGGATAAAAGTAATGTCAAAAGCCTCCTGGCTCATTAGGACATGCAAGTTCATAAAATGTTAAGGACAGACTGGATAAGTAAAATCCAGGTGAGGTGAGAACGATAAAATCATAAAAACAAACAACAAATGTTTTTTTTTTATATATTTTCTTTTCTTTTAATCACATTCACCAGCACTAGTTTTTTAATAAATAAGTTGTCTCCTTTCACTTGAAGATTTTTCCTTGATTGAATTTTTTACCATCAAAATCTCCCTCCCAATTCCAATATTCTTCTACCATTTTCTTTGTTTCTGCAGTAGTTGGGTCCAGTTTTTTCCATTCATATGACTCATAGTCAACCTGCCAGTTGGGATTCAGCTGTAATTATATACATTGTGTATTGAAATTTAGATGTAAATAAGAATGGTTTCTTTATAATAACATTTTTTTCTGTTGCCACTTACTTTTATTAACTTGTTATTTTTACTTTTTACTAAGAAAATTTTCAGATTCCTATCTGACAATGCATAACAAACATCAGTGATCTATCAGATTTAAAAAATTTAAATGAGAATTTCGACACAAGTCTCAATTCTCAATTATAATTAATGCAAATATAGATATCTATATTTAGGCGGAGATCGTGTTCTATGCTGGCTGTCTAACTGAATATCAGAAACAGTCATATATAGTTGCAATTATTTTTCAGAATTTGAAATTTGCTGAAAAATTACTATCGACTGGAATTTAGAATGAAGGGGATATTAATTGATGTTATTTTCCTTCAATTTGTGAAGTATAGACAAACATTTAATTACGATTATTGTAGTTTTGACATTGATTTCTGACATTCGATCAACAATACTAGATGTATTAGAATGGAACAATAACAGATTGCATAGTTAACAATTTTTTGTGCAAGTTTGCAACTTTCACCAATCACGTGAATTCCATGTGAGTTATACTGAATAAAAAATAAAGATTACTGAACTGGCTCTCTAGTGATTTATCACATACCAAGAAAGAAACTTAATTGACTTCACAACTGAATATCCCCTCCCCATTTATACAAACAAAATAGGGGAAATTGTATCGCAATTGCTTTCTTATTACAATTCAGCCCTACCTCAAATGCTAATTTGGGTCCTCTCCAAAACCATACACCTGATATACTGTTTTTGTTATCTTCTCCAAATATACACATACTACCAAAAGCATTCTTCCTCAATTTTTCAACTCGTTGAAAAAATCCTGTAAAAATAGAATAGAAAATTTTATTTTAAGTCAGGTTTACATGAACATTTGATTACAAACATAAGCTCTTTGTGATTTTTGCTGACATGTAATAATGCACAATTCTAAGTTTGAATAATCAATATAAAATAATCTGCAAATTATTCCTTGGTAAAATATGATTATAACAACTCTACATTTTGCATTGTAGAATGGTAAACTTAGCATCAAATTCCCCTTTTTGCAAAAACCTTTCACTGAACTGGTGTAGCAATTACGGAGAAATGACAGTAAAGAAAGCAAGTTTTTATAAATGTTTTGTCTAGTTTCTTTATTAAGGACAGTCATGCATAAAAACCCATTCTGTAAATTTATGATATAAGGTGTGTTAACCAGAATCCCCAAAAAATATCAAAGCATATAATTTGCCTCAGACATTTCTTTTACAGGAAAACTGATGATGTTTAAAATTACATTCATATTCAGTAATAATAATAATTCTTCATCAAAAGGGTTAAAGAGTTAGATATAAAAACAAATCTTCCCCAGGCTTTCATACAATACATTGAAATATAACAAACAAAGAAGTACAAAACAAACCCACATACAAAAACTTAAATGAATGTTTAAAACAGGTAAAAATGATAAATTCATAGAGTTGACTTAATTTAAATTACCTCAACAACATATAAAGTTCAAGTGTGTGACAAAGTATAACATATAAAGTTCAAGTGTGTGACAAAGTATGATAAAATGTTATTTAAACTGATTTGTACCAGACTGACAAGCTTAACTTTTTTTGAATGTGCTCCTTCACAAAGTAACCAAATGTAGGGAGACATGTTACCCTACCTCAATATATTATTCTGACATATAAAATGTCAGTTGCCGAGATGAAAAGCAATTCTTGCTGTTTTAATTTTACAATATCCTGGTATCCTATAAAATTATTCATAAATGATATGGAAACATGTATCGTAAATCAGGTGATAAAATCAATCAGAATAAGTTTCTGAACAAAAGTAATCAGTGTTAGTCAGATTATTAATGTAAATGTAGATTTAAATTAATTAGTAATATTTGCTTGTAAAACCACTTAAACAATAGACAATGGTGGATGAACTTTTAAAAAATGAGACTCACTACTGACAAGATTACCGCTAATAAATGAATCTTTCGATATGATTTGATCTGCATAGCAGATACAATGTGGAAATAAAATTTATAAAATTCTAAAGGGAGCTTACATCAACAGATATAAACAATTCACCAAAGTTTCATGAGAACTGCTGAAAGCATTTTTTAGTTATTGTCCGAAAACTGGAAAATCCCCCTTTTTTTATGAATAAAACCCTGCAACTCAGAATCGCTATATCTAAAATTTATAAAAATCCAATAGCGAGCTCATGTCAATAGATATAAACAATTCACCAAAATTTCTTGCAAGTTGGTGAAAGCATTCTTGAGTTATTGTCGGAAAACTGGAAAATTCCCCCCTTTTTTAATGAATAAAACCCCAAATCTGGGAAACCATAAATCTGAAATTTATAAAAAAACGAAAGGGAGCTCACGTCAATAGATATAAACAATTCACCAAAGTTTCATGCATATTGGTTAAAGGTTTTTTGAGTTAATGTCCGACATGTTGATGACGGACGGACAGACAGATGGTCAACGGTATACCATAATACGTCCCGTAAACGGGCATATAAAAACTGATTGACAGGTGTCATTTACCTATAAACTGCAAAGAGCTTTGTTTATTTAACAATATTCATTATATCTGCTTGCTTCAGATGTCTTCTGTGTTAATGAGACTATCATGAGTTAAAGTTTTGATTTCTTACATTGCCTTTCATTTAGAAATAAAGTTAGGATTTGCAGTATAGATCTGTCATCTGTAAAACTGATTTATAAATAAGACCTATCGGAATAAGTTCATATATGTCCTCATCCTATTCATAGGTTTTCCTTGAAATATTCACAGTAGTTATATTTTTCGCATTTCAACGCTTACCATGAAAATAAAACTGCCTCACAAGTTTCCTTGTTTAAAGTATACCAGTTCTGATAGCACATGAAATTTGCTCTCAAGTTCAATAGCCTTTTTTAGCAAAATTATACATATATACAAAGTTTTTAAGCAAGAACTTTAGATTCCTCTTACCTCCTATTAAATTGCAGGTCATAAAAATTTTGCTCAGTTCTGAATTATACTTGTATTCACAATACCAAATAGAATAATTGTCTTTTTCAAAATTGTTCCAAAAATATGGAAGTGCCTCTGTTAATGTGTCCTTATTGGAATATTCACGTTTAAATTCATCCATGTTGAATTTTCTGAAAAAGAAAATGCTTCAATTATCACAAACAATTTTTAATTTAACTGTGAAGATTTACGCTCATATTGACTCAGTGTGTGTGGTTTTTTGCAAAGACTGTTTGAGCTTGACTAAAACCATTGTCAGGACAAAGTATTCACCATAAATTGGTAAGAGAAAAATTTTGAACTTGTGTGTTTACAAGAACTACGAGAGTTTAAATAAAGTTTCATGGAGACTGCACACGCTGAAATGTCTCACCTGCTTTACTTACCATGATTGAATTTATGTAGAAAGTGTGTAATATGAAGGTTTTACTAAATTGTTTCGAATTAAATGAAAGGACAGAGTTCCAATGTCCCCCGTGTTGCACAATTTTATCTATCCAAGGTACAAGAGCAATAACTAATAATACACTTTTTTTTTGTTCTTTAAAAACATTTTATAAATATCTTAAAAGAAATGAAGGCTTCAGAGCAAATGCAATGCGATATCCGTTATAATCAATATTTCCAAGGGGCATAATTAGTTGAAAATATATAAGCTTTTATTTTTCGAAAGTGTCAAAGACATTGCTGATGTAAACCTATGATATAAGTTTCATATATTCTGGCAAGAATTGTACACATGAGAGCGCTAATCATGCAATTTCCCATATAATTGATGTTTCCAAGGGGCATGACTTTTTGAAAAAAGTAATTGTTCGGCACTGATTTTCAAATGCTGATATAAACGTATGATACAAGTTTCATAAAATTCTGGCAAGAATTGTACACATGGGAGCGCTAACCATGCATTTTTCCATATAATTAATGTTTCCTAGGGGCATTCATCTTTTAAAAATAAATGTGGATAGTGTCCACATGTGGACACAGATGATGCGCCTGCTTGCAAATCATATAGTTATAAAGGGACATAACTGGAGAACGGTAAAAGTGACACTACCCAAATTTGAACTTGATCTGAGTTTTGTGGTAATAAGCATTGTAAGTCTCATAACATTTGGTTGAGGCTAACTTAAGTACAGAACAGAAACTAAAAATTCAGCAATTTTTCTTTTGTAAACACGCATAACTCTAGAACGGTTGTGTACAAGTTTTATAACATTTGGTTGAGACAAACTAGAGTTAAAGAACGGAAACGAAAAATTCAGCAATTTTTCCATTTATAAAGGGGCATAACTCTAGAACGGTTAAAGTGACGCCACCAAAATTCAAACTTGATCTGTGTTTTGTGGTAATAAGCATTGTGTATAAGTTTCATAACCTTTGGTTGGAGCAAACTAAAATTAGAGAACGGGGAAACTAAAAATTTTGCAATTTTTCCATTTGTAAAGGGGTATTACTCTAGAACGGTTAAAGTAACCCAACCAAAATTCAAACTTGATCTGTGTTTTGTGATAATTAGCATTGTGTATAAGTTTCATAACATTTGGTTGAGGCAAACTCAAGTTAGAGAACGGAAACTAATTTTGGGACGTACGTACGTACAGACGGACAAGGGTAAAAATTAATGCCCCCACTGCTACGGCTGGGGCATAAAAATTGATCGGCACTGATTTTTAATTTGTCCAAGACATTGCCGATATAAACCTATGATATAAGTTTCATAAAATTCTGTTAGAATTGTACAAATGAGAGCGCTAACAATGCAATTTTCCATATAATTAATGTTTCCAAGGGGCATAACTCTTTTAAAAATAATTGATTGGCACCAATTTTCAAACTCGTCCAAGACACTGCTGATAAACACCTATGATTTAAGTTAAATAAAAATCTAGCAAGAATTGAACAAGTGAGAGCGCTAACAAGACCGTACAGACGGACACCCGCCCGTCCCTATTTCTATGTCCCCCGCAACGTGTTGCGTGGGGGACAATAACCATTATCAATGATCAATGAAAATGAGGTCAAGGTCAGATGAACCATGCCCAACAACATGTGCACCATGCAATAATTCCATACACCAAATACAGTTGACATATTGCTTCAAGTATCTAAAAATAAAATGCTCCACAGGGCGCAGCTTGATACGACCGCAGAGGTCGAACCCTGAACAGTTGGGGCAAGTATGGACACAACATTCAAGCTTGATACAGCTTTGCATTTGGATTGTGATTAAATATTTGACACAGCATAGGTTTCTGACACAGAATGAATGTGGTCTAAGAACTTTAAAATTTTAAATTGGACATTCACCTATTATGGTCCAATATCCAAAATCTAAATACATGGTTAGATTCAGCATATCAAAGAACCCCAAGAATTCAATTTTTGATGAAATCAAACAAAGTTTAATTTTGGACCCTTTTGACCTCAATGTGGACAAAGTTGATAACGGGGCCCAAAAATCAAAAATCAAAATACATGGTTAGATTCAGCATATCAAAGAACCCCATATATTCAATTTTTGTTGAAATCAAACAAAGTTTAATTTTGGACCACAATTTGGACCAACTTGAAAACTGGGCCCATAATCAAAAATCTAAATACATGTTTAGATTCAGAATATCAAAGAACCCTAAGAATTCAATTTTGTTAAAATCAAACTAAGTTTAATTTTGGACCCTTTGGACCTTAATGTAGACCAATTTGAAAACTGAACCAAAAATTAAGAATCTAAATACTTGGTTAGATTCGGCATATTAAAGAGCCCCAAGAAGTCAAGAATAAAACCCCATTGAAATTGGTCAAGAAATAAGCAATTTATACGAAGTATCTTCTTTTGCACAATACTGTGCAATTAAATATTTTTTGCTATTGCGCAATACTGTACAATTGACAATTTCTTGCTATTGCGCAATATTGTGCTATTGGATATTTCTTGCTATTGCGCAATACTGTGCAATTGAAGATTTCTTGCTATTGCGCAATACTGTGCAATTGAAGATTTCTTGCTATTGTGCAATACTGTGCAATTGAAAATTTCTTGCTATTGCACAATACTTATTATATAATAATTTACACATCCTGTTTGGTGTGTATCTCCTACCATATCATTATTATTTGCTTTTAAATATAAATCAGAAATAACCAACTTAAAATGGAAAATTTTAAAAGAAAAAAAAAAGGAAAAAAAGAAAAAAAAGGAAAAAAAAAAAATCCCCCCCCCCCAAATTTTTTGAACCCCCTTATGATTCATCACCCCCAAACTCAATCCCAGCCTTCCCTTTGTGGAATGATACCTTGCAGTACAATTTCAGAGAGATCCATACACTTGAACAAAAGTAATTGTCTGGAAACTAGAACTAGAGGCTCTCAAGAGCCTGTGTCGCTCACCTGACTCTACTTTGGTTTTAGAAATCATGTAATGATAGATAAAAATCATAACAGATACCCAAGTAATGATTGAGGCCAAATATTGATTAATATTGGTCCCGTTATTTAATAAAATATCCTGGTGGCCATCTTGAACAGTAAATCGGCAACAAAGTAGCAACACTTGGTCAGCACTTCATAAGGAACATTCATGCCATTTTTGGTTTCATTCCATTCAGTGGTTCTCTAAAAGAAGACATTTGTATGTATTTCCCATAGGTCCTTTGTTAAACTAAGTCCCCTGCTGTCGGCCATCTTGGATGATGGACAGACTGCAAAGTAACAACACTTGGTCAGCACCTCATAAGGAACATTCATGCCATGTTTGGTTTCATTCCATTCAGTGGTTCTCTAAAAGAAGACATTTGTATGTATTTCCCATAGGGTCCTATGTTAAACTAAGCCCCCCGCTGGCGGCCATCTTGGATGATAGATCGGCTACAAAGTAACAACACTTGGTCAGCACCTCATAAGGAACATTCATGCCATGTTTGGTTTCATTCCATTCAGTGGTTCTCTAAAAGAAGACATTTGTATGTATTTCCCATAGGGTCCTATGTTAAACTAAGTCCCCCCGCTGGCGGCCATCTTGGATGATGGACTGACTGCAAAGTAACAAAACTTGGTCAGCATCTCATAAGGAACATTCATGCCATGTTTGGTTCCATTCAATTCAGTGGTTCTCTAAAAGAAGACATTTTTATGTATTTCCCATAGGGTCCTATGTTAAACTAAGTCCCCCGCTGGCGGCCATCTTGGATGATGGATCGGCTACAAAGTAACAACACTTGGTCAGCACCTCATAAGGAACATTCATGCCATGTTTGGTTTCATTTCATTCAGTGGTTCTCTAAAAGAAGACATTTGTATGTATTTCCCATAGGGTCCTATGTTAAACTAAGTTCCCCAATGGCGGCCATCTTGGATGATGGATCGGCTACAAAGTAACAACACATGGTCAGCACCTCATAAGGAACATTCATGCCATGTTTGGTTTATTCCATTCAGTGGTTCTCTAAAAGAAGTCATTTGTATGCATTTCCCATAGGGTCCTATGTTAAACTAAGTCCCCCGCTGGCGGCCATCTTGCATGATGGATCGGCTACAAAGTAACAACACTTGGTGAGCACCTCATAAGGAACATTCATGCCATGTTTGGTTTCATTCCATTCAGTGGTTCTCTAAAAGAAGTCATTTGTATGCATTTCCCATAGGGTCCTATGTTAAACTAAGTCCCCCGCTGGCGGCCATCTTGGATGATGGATCGGCTACAAAGTAACAACACTTGGTCAGCATCTCATAAGGAACATTCATGCCATGTTTGGTTTCATTCCATTCAGTAGTTCTCTAGAAGAAGTTCAAAATATAAAAAGTTAACGCCGACGACGGACGCCAAGTGATGAGAAAAGCTCACTTGGCCCTTCGGGCCAGGTGAGCTAAAAATGTGTTTTTTGGCCCCTTTTTGGCCCCAAATTCCTAAACGTTTAGGGAAATTACCCCCAAACTCAAACCCAGCTTTCCCTTTGTGATATGAAACCTTGTAGTACAATTTCAGAAAGATCCATACACTTACACACAAGTTATTGTCCTGAAACTAGAAAAATGCTTGTTTTTTGCCCCTTTTTGGCCCCTAATTCCTAAAATATTGAGGCAATTACCCCCATCATCAATCCCAGCCTTCCCTTTGTGGTATGGTACCTTGCAGTACAATTTCAGAGAGATCCATACACTTGAACACAAGTTATTGTCTGGAAACTAGAAAAATGCTTATTTTTGGCCCCTTTTTGGCCCCAAATTCCTAAATGTTTCGGCAATTACCCCCAAACTCAATTCCAGCTTTCCCTTTGTGATATGGAACCTTGTAGTACAATTTCAGAAAGATCCATACACTTGCACACAAGTTATTGTCATGAAACTAGAAAAATGCTTGTTTTTTTGCCCCTTTTTTTGCCCCTAATTCCTAAAATTTTGGGGCAATTACCCCCAAAATCAATCCCAGCATTCCTTTTGTGATATGGATCCTTGTGGTACAATGTCAGAGAGATCCATACACTAACACACAAGTTATGTCTGGAAGTTACAAAAATGCTTTTTTTTGGCCCCTAATTCCTTTACTGTTGGTACCATAACCCCCAAAATCAATCCCAACCTTCCTTTTGTGGTATTGAACCTTGTGGTAAAATTTCATAGAGATCCATTCACTTAAACTAAAGTTAGAGTGCGAAAACCAATGTGTCTTCAGACGACGCCTGACGACGCCAGACCACGACGACGACGCCGCCAACGTCATACCAATATACGACCACAAAATTTTTTTTGCAGTCGTATAAAAATAACCATGAAAACTTTAACATTGACCAATGAACTATGAAAATGCAGTGAGATGAATCCTGCCAGACAGACATAATTATACACCTGACAATCATTCTATACAGCAAATAATGTTGACCTATTGCTTATAGTATCTGACAAATAGATCAAATCAGAAAAAAATTAACATAGACCAATAAACCATAAAAATGAGGTCAAGGTCAGAAGAGACCTGCCAGTGGGACATACACATGTCACAATCATTCCATACAACAAATATAGTTAACCTATTGCTTTGAGATACTGACTTGACCATGTAAATTTAACCTACATCACTGATCCAAGAAATAAGGTCCAAGGTCAATTGAACCCTGAGACATGAAGACCTTGCAAGGAGCCCATATACCAAATATAGTGATCATAGTAAGTGAGAAATTCACATGACTGTCGCCAAACCATGAAACTGAGGTCAATGACAATAGACTTATGACAGATGGAAACTTCATAACACAAGGCATCTTCATACAAGGTATGAAGCATCCACGTCTTCTACCTTCTCAAATATAAAGCTTTGAATCAATAGTTAACACAGTCACCGCATTGTAATCCCTATGTCTCGCAAGACAAAAACTGTCTAGGTTCATGGAATATGCACAAGATCAAATTCCTCAACCAATTCTATATCTATGCTTTACCATTTAATTTGAAATTGTGACTAAATACTTCAAAAATATCAAAAGTGCATTACAACACCAACAATAAAACAACTTCACAAAACTGATTAAAAGCATTTTAATTTGTGACTAAAACTTCAAAATATTAGAACAAAACCAAAACTTAAAGGCGCATTAGCTGCCAAATTCATATTTGATTTATAACATACTACTACATATATCCAAATTGCAAAAAGTCTAAAATAAACAATTAACAATCCATGGACTTGATAATATGTATCAACATTTCATGTGTATTTTTGTCTAGACGTCATCTAATTAACCATGAGATAACCAGATATAAACATAAATATAAATATAAACAGAAACGTCCACATGCAATTGGATTTTTCTAGGTCGGTTTGATTTCATATTGTAGGTTAAAAAGTATGTTTATCGAATCAACCAAATGATTCATCCTTGTTTCTCTTTCAATGTTGACATTCTTTTCCTTTTAATAGCTGAATACATGCGTAACCGAACTCGGGGTTAAATTAAAACTCACATGAATACGGATTCAATGAGGTCGAATTATTCACTTGCAAGTGAATAATTCATCAGTGATGTTTCTTATCTTATTTTGACAAAATTGAACCAAATTGGCTGCTAAAAGCAAAATAGTATTTCACTATCACTTTTATTAATGATAAAGCAAAAAAAAAATCATATTTTAATTTTTATTATATCTCGTGGCTAATGCCCCTTTAATTTGAAACTATTTTAGGTGTGTTTTTTATTAAAGGAAAGAGGAAAAGAATATGTAATATTTTTACCCTCTTGGAAATGCAGCAAATGGATCTTTTTCCTCTTTCTCTTTAGGTGCATCATCGTCTTCATCATCATCTTCATCCTTTTTCTGCAAAAAACATATTTAGAACATAAATCTACTAAATTCTTTTAATATTCTTTTAATATTCTTCTAATGTATAGATCAAGAGTTTATTTTACAAGTGTTTGATATTTTAAAAAGCCTGAAGTTTCGGTCCCATCACAAGTTTGTTGTGATATTTTGACATGCTGTCTGAATGAATAATTTTACATTAAATATCTTCATAATTGTTCACGTCCAATTAAACAAGCATTCTTAGAGTATTGCATGGCAATACATAGTCCCTTACTTGTTAAAAAATCATTGTACTGGAACAAAATGCTAACTTAATCTATAAGTTGTCATGGTGTAAACTATATAACAAATATCAAGTCAATATCTTCAAGCATGACGAAAAAAAGTGTGGAAAACTGATTATTTGAGTGAATTTTCTAAGTCCACAAGGACCATATAACTGCACAAAATCATCCGACAGAACAAAATCCAAAATTGATCAGTAACTTGTCATGATAAAAATATATAACAATTATCAAATCAATATCTTCAACCATGATGAAAAAAAGTACGGAAAACTGATTATTCGAGTGAATTTTCTAAGTCCAAAGACCATTACTCTGCATAAAATCATCAGACCTGAACAAAATTCAATTATGATCTGTAACTTGGCATGATAAAACAATATACCAAATATCAAATCAATATCTTCAAGCATGAAGAAAAAAAGTGTGGAAAACTGATTTGCCAGACTGACGGATGGACAGACAGACAGACAGAGTGTAGGGGGCTAAAAAATAAAATTATTTATCTTATTCTTTAGATTATGGAGATGTCAAATATCATATTTATCCTCCTTGGTAAAAAAATAACGAGATTTTACATATGTATGGACTAACATACGAATTTCTTGAATACAATGATATTTCCTTATAATTAGTAATAAACTGCTTCGCTGAGCGCAGCTGGATACGCCCACAGAGGTCCAACCCTAAACAGTTGGGGCAAAAATGGACACAATATTCAAGCTTGATACATGTCTGAATTTGGATTGTATTAAATATTTGACATATTATAGGTTTCTGAATAAATGTAGTCAAAGAACTTGAAATTGGTTATATGAATTGAATTTATATTCAACAAGTAAAATTGTGAGCTACTGCTCACTGATGATACCCCCGCCGAAACATTTCGGTAAACAGGAAGTTGTTGAGTGATGAATCTAAAAATGCATCACACAGTATAGCTGACTTATATAAACCCTGAAACCAAATTTCAGAAATCCTTGTCAAGTAGTTCCTGAGAAAAATGCGATGAAAATATTCATGGGACAGACAGACTGACTGACAGATGGACTGATGGAAGGACAGACAGAGGTTAAACAGTATACCCCCACTTTTTTAAAGCGGGGGTATAATTAAATATTTCTTGCTGTTGTGCAATACACTGTGCCATTGCGCAATACTTAGTAAATCTGTTGTCAGACTATAAAAATTAAAGCTCAATTAATTCTCAATGTCATATTAGAAATTTATGAAAATGTAAAGGGAGCTTACATCAATAGATATAAACAATTCACCAAAGTTTCATGAGAATTGCTGACAGCATTTTTGATTTTTTGTCTGAAACTGGAAAATCCCCCTTTTTTTATGAATAAAACCCTGTAACTCGGACACGTAAAATCTAAAATATATAAAAATCGAAAGGGAGCTCATGTCAATAGATATAAACAATTCACCACAATTTCTTGCAAGTTGGCGAAAGCATTCTTGAGTTATTGTCCAAAAACTGGAAAATCCCCCTTTTTAATAGGGATGTCAACTCGGTGAAGATTTACTAATCGATTACTCGTTGGATTTACCAAGCTATACTCGAGTAATCGCTCGGTAAAACATTTTCAAAATGGAAACACTAACTTATACCTATTTTATTCATTGTGGGTCGTTGTCTTATGATAGTAAAACCCTCAACATTATTACTTAGGACTAGATAATAGTCCAAGGAAGTTTATACCAATCAATAGCTCATTTACTAACAAGAGTAAAATATTTTAAAATTCCACTTTCTGATATTAAAAATGGCGATAACTTAAAAAGGAAAAATACAAAAATCTTGAAAATTGAACTAGAACTTTATTAAGTCCCAGGAAACAACATATTTAAATTTGAAAATAAAATGCTTCGCTGAGTGCAGCCTGATACGACCGCAGAGGTCGAACCCTGAACAGTTGGGGCAAATTTGGACACAATTTTCAAGCTTGATACTGTCTGAATTTGGATTGTGATCAAATTTTTTACAAAATATAGGTTTCTGATACAAATTAAATGTGGTCAATGATCTTATAAATCCATTGCGCAATACTGTGCAATTGAAGATTTCTTCTTGAAACTTTTCAAAAATTCGAAATTTTAAAAATTTTGAATCCCTTTAAAAAATTGGGAAAAAAATCCCCCCCCCACCCAACATTTTGAAATCCCCCTTGGAGCAATAACCCCAAAACTCAATCCCAGCCTTTCCTTTGTAGTATGGAACCTTGTAGTACAATTTCAGAGATATCCATACACTTACACACAAGTTTTTGTCTAGAAACTAGAATAAAATGCTCCGCTGGGCGCAGCTTGATACGACCGCAGAGGTCGAACCCTGAACAGTTGGGGCAAGTATGGACACAACATTCAAGCTTGATACAGCACTGAATTTGGATTGTGATTAAATATTTGACACAGCATAGGTTTCTGACACAGAATGAATGTGGTCTAAGAACTTAAATTTTTTTAATTTACCTATTCAAATCATATCATTATTATTTGCTTTTATATATGTAGGACTCAAATCTATGGCGGGTTCCAAATCTATGGCAGATTCCTAATCTATGGCAAATATGACGTTACAAACGCCAAACAACTCAAATCTATGGCAGATTTTTGTTTTCTCCAAATCTATGGCAGATCTGAGTGAAAGAGTAACATGTAACGTCACAATTGAATAACGCCATATTACATCTTCGCCGCCGCTTACGATGGCGAAACCCATATATGTGAACACCATTCAAGGTGAAGGTATTTCCCTGACAACAATTTGCGGGAGGTTTAAATGCAGATGTGACCTATTATCCCGAAGAGGGACAAAATGTGCTGTATCGGTCGATGCCCGCGATGAACAAGGGCACCGCTAATTTCAGTACCGCATATTTTAGAAAAGGAGTTTTAGTAGCAATTTACTGTCTACGGCTGGCACAGTTTATAAAGTGAATATTAAATTACCGGATACAAATTTTATTTAAATCGTCATTAAGTAAAAAAGAAGTATTAACGATATCCCTAAAATAAATATTATTTGAAAATTCAAACGGTTCATTTTTATTTTTTACTTTTTTTTTACTTTTTTTTTTATATAAAAAGCGGCCTTCATGTTTGTTAAAGGACTTATTAGCTGGTTTAATGAATGGGTTAAACAGGTACCATGCACAGATTAAAAAATGTTTATTTTTTTACAGAGCTCATCATTTTAATCTTGAAGTCTGTATTAAGGTATATGAATTTATCATTTATGTTTTTTTTTTTTGGTTAACCATCATGGAATGTTTTTTTCAAAAATGTTAATAGACATGCTCCCGTTGTCGTATATTTCCGCTTGTTTAAGAGAAGTCATTGGTCAAAATGTACTGCATTGTTTTCCGTTTGCACAATATTTGCCATAGATTTGGAAACAACAAAAATCCACCATAGATTAGGAAATTACAAAACTTGTCATAGATTAGGTTTTAAAAAAATCTACCATAGATTTGGGATGGCATGACGTCACATTTACCATAGATTAGGAATCTGCCATAGATTTGGAACCCACCATAGATTTGAGTCCTACATATATAAATCAGAAATACCAAATTTAAAATGGAAAATTTTAAAGAAAAAAAAGAGGAAAAAAAGGAAAAAAAATCCCTCCCCCAAATTTGTTGAACCCCCTTATGATTCATCACCCCTAAACTCAATCCCAGCCTTCCCTTTGTGGTATGGTACCTTGCAGTACAATTCCAGAGAGATCCATAAACTTGAACACAAGTTATTGTCTGGAAACTTGCTTGCTTGTTTTTAGGCCCCTTTTTGGCCCCAAATTCCTTAACGTTTAAGGCAATTACCCCCAAACTCAAACCCAGCTTTCCCTTTGTGATATGGAACCTTGTAGTACAATTTCATAAAGATCCATACACTTACACACAAGTTATTGTCCTGAAACTAGAAAAATGCTTGTTTTTTGCCCCTTTTTGGCCCCTAATTACTAAAATTTTGAGGCAATTACCCCCAAAATCAATCCCAGTCTTCCCTTTGTGGTATGGTACCTTGCAGTACAATTTCAGAGAGATCCATACACTTGAACACAAGTTATTGTCTGGAAACTAGAATAAACTGCTTCGCTGAGCGCAGCTGGATACGCCCGCAGAGGTCTAACCCTGAACAGTTGGGGCAAAAATGGACACAATATTCAAGCTTGATACAGGTCTGAATTTGGATTGTAATTAAATATTTGACATACATCTATTATAGGTTTCTGAATAAATGTAGTCAAAGAACTTGAAGTTGGTTATATGAATTGAATTTATATTCAATTAAAGATTTCTTGCTGTTGTGCAATACACTGTGCTGTTGCGCAATACTTAGTAAATCTGTTGTCAGACTATAAACAAATAAAATTTATAAAATTCTAAAGGGAGCTTACATCAATAGATATAAACAGTTCACCAAAGTTCCATACGAATTGCTGAAAGCATTTTTGAGTTTTTGTCTGAAAACTGGAAAATCCCCCTTTTTTAATGAATAAACCCCATAATTCGGAAATGTAAAATCTAAAATTTATAAAATTCTAAAGGGAGCTTACATCAATAGATATAAACAATTCATCAAAGTTTCATGAGAACTGCTGAAAGCATTTTTAAGTTATTGTCCGAAAACTGGAAAATCCCCCTTTTTTTTATGAATAAAACCCCATAACTCGGAAACGTAAAATCTAAAATTTATAAAAATCCAAAGGGAGCTCATGTCAATAGATATAAACAATTAACCAAAATTTCTTGCAAGTTGGTGAAAGCATTCTTGAGTTATTGTCCGAAAACTGGAAAATCCCCCTTTTTTTAATGAATAAAACCCCATAACTCGGAAACGTAAAATCTAAAATTTATAAAAAACGAAAGGGAGCTCACGTCAATAGATATTAACAATTCACCAAAGTTTTAAGCAAATTGGTTAAAGCGTTTTTGAGTTAATATCCGACATGTTGACGACGGACGGATGGACAGACGGACGTACAACGGTATACCATAATACGTCCCGTAAACGGGCGTATAAAAATGCTTATTTTTGGCCCCTTTTTCCTAAACGTTTTGGGCAATTACCCCCAAACTCAATTCCAGCTTTCCCTTTGTGATATGGAACCTTGTAGTACAATTTCAGAAAGATCCATACACTTACAGTTATAAGTTATTGTCATGAAACTAGAAAAATGCTTGTTTTTTGCCCCTTTTTTGGCCCTTAATTCCTAAAATTTGGAGGCAATTACCCCCAAAATCAATCCCAGCATTCCCTTTGTGATATGGAACCTTGTGGTACAATGTCAGAGAGATCCATACACTTACACACAAGTTATGTCTGGAAGTTACAAAAATGTTTATTTTTGGCCCCTAATTCCTTAACTGTGGGTACCATAACCCCCAAAATCAATCCCCACCTTTCTTTTGTGGTATTGAACCTTATGGTAAAATTTCATTGAGATCCATTCACTTAAACTAAAGTTAGAGTGCGAAAACTAATGTGTCTTCGGACTACGACGACGACGCCAACGTCATACCAATATACGACCACAAATTTTTTTTTGCGGTCGTATAAAAATTCGTAAGGGTTCCGCGGAACCCAGTGTCTCGCCTACTTTTGCTGTTAATCGCAGGCTCAACAAAAATAAGGAAAAAAATCAATAAAAATATTCCTTTAGATACTATCTTTCGATTGTAAGAAGCTTCTGTCAAAGTTTGGTATAAATCCAGGATAGTTTATGAATCTAATAAATGTTTTAAAAACTTTAACTGCAGACTGTATTTAATGTTAACTGGAAGAAAAACTAAGTCCATTTATTAGTAAAATAAGGATAAACAGGTACAAATTTTAACAAAATGTCCTTCTAGATCATGTAGATACTAGCTTTTGATCATAAACAAGCTTCTGTCCAAATTTGGTACAAATCCAGGATAGTTTAAGAAAGTTATTAAAATTTCAAAAACTTTAACCACAGAGTGAATGTATTGTTTCCTGGCCGAAAAAGTAAGTCCATTTATAAGTAAAATACAGAAAAAATGAAATTTTTTTTTTAACAAATTTACTTCTGGATACTATCTTATGATCATAAACAAGCTTCTGTCCAAGTTTGGTACAAATCCCGGATAGTTTAAGATAGTTATTAAAATTTCAAAAACTTTAACCACAGAGTGAATATTTGTGGACGCCGCCACCTACAGAATGTAGGATCACTATGTCTTGCTTTTTCGACTACAGTCGAAGGCTCGACAAAAATACTTGTTTTTGGCCCCTAATTCCTACGTTTGGGACAATTAACCCCAAACTCAATCCCAGCCTTACCTTTGTTATATGGAACCTTGTGGTAAAATGTCAGAAAGATCCATATACTTACACACAAGTTATTGTCTGGAAACTAGAAAAATGCTTGTTTTTGGCCCTTAATTCCTAAACTGTTGGCCCCATAACCCCTTAAATGAATCCCAACCTTCTACTTGTGGTATTTAACATTGTGGTACAATTTCAGAGCAATCGAAATATTATACACAAGTTATTATCCTGAAACTAGAAAAATGCTTGTTTTGGGCCCCTAATTCCTAAACGGTTGGGACCATCATCCCCAAAATCAATCCCAACCTTCCTTTTGTGGTATTGAATCTTCTTCAAAAATTTCATAGAGATCCATTCACTTAAACTAAAGTTATTGTCCGGAAACCAATGTGTCTTCGGACGACGACGCAGACGACATCATAAATTTTGCGGTCGTATAAAAATTTGTTAGTGTTTTCATGTTATTGTACAGACACTGTTTGGCAGCCGCCCGTCCACCCGCCGTACATCACCATTTTAATAACCGATATTTTCTTCGAAAATCCGGTTAAAAATGAAGGTATTCAATTTACAACTTTTCTTTTAATTTTTTTATATTTTTAACCTCTTTACCTTGGGTTTTTCTTTTTTGGGTTTATCTGCTGGTTTCTTCTCTTTCTTTCCACCATCAGCTTTACCATGGAGTTCCTGATATTTCTTAGCTAAAAAAGTTTAAAGGTACTTTTATTATATTTTGTAGCAGTATTAATTTTTTTTGACCCATGTATGTGGTAGTCTATTTATAAAACTGTGTCTGGCAAAGGGAGACAACACTTATACGATAAGAAAAGAAGCATGAATTTGCTAATCCCAGTACTTATTAACTACACCATGTACACATAATATAAAAGTTTCTGGAAGGGTGAAATTTACAGACTACAATGGTCATACACAACTGAATACCTCTTTAAGAGATGAAAATCATGTATGGAACATGTAGATTTTAGAAACAAAATTTGTTAACAAAGACTCGGAGTTCCATGTTTTTCTTTCCTCAACATTTACAACATTCTATTTATTACAATGTTATATTTGCCATGAGGAGTAAAGATTCCATTTATACAGGAAAAAAACATAAAACTATATCTTAGACTTCTAGTTGCTAACATCTACCTCATTTGGTCTCTGGTAGATAGTGGTCTTACTGGCAATATACAATTATTCTTCAGAGTTGGCAAGGTATTACCCGCCCTGGAAAACCCAGGTCCGGGTAATACTGGGCAATATGATTTTATAAGCTTATTTTAACACAAAATAGTAAAGACTTGTTGTAGTTTCATAGTATTATAGCTAAATATATACATTTTATACAGATAACCATTGAGAGTCATTTCTAGAAGATTGAAAATTCAATTTCATTCTCTTCTCCACTAACTCCATGTAGGCAGAATACAAGATTTGCACATTTTAGGATACCTTGTTAATTTCCTAGCATTGTTTCAATAATCCAAACTTTGAAAAAATGCATATTATTTGAATGTTTAAGTAAATTATAAATTTAAATTGCTATGCAAACATACTGCTAAATAAACACCCTCCAGGGTCATGTCATTAACACTTATAGATATGAAAAGGCTGATTATTGTTATATAAACATATCTGTGTTCTAATCTGAATAATTACTTATTAATTAGTGATGTACATATAAATTATTTAAAGTATTTTTTTTACCTGTAAGTGTTAATTGTTAATATTAGTTATAAATATTTGAAAAAAAAATTGAATTCTTTGGCTTTCTGTTAACAGTTTGACCAATCTAGACAGAATGGTGATTTAATAGTTTTTTAGAATTATTGCGAAAGGCTTTTTCCAATATTATTTGTCTAATGTGTCTTCATGTACACTTGTCTCAGAGTTGCTAGAACAATACTTTCTCAAATGTATACACTTGTATTATAAGACTCTCTAACAAGTTAACTTATTTATAAATCGAGATTTGTTTATAAATATCTTAAATGTATTGCATTTGTGTTTGATCACTGAATCCTCTTTAAAATTCAGGCCAGTATTTTATATTGCCCAGTATTACCCGGTAAAACCCGGGTTTTCCCAGTATTTCCCACTGGGCTGGGCAATACTCATAAAACCCGGGTTCTTCTTCTTCCAGGTAAGGAACTGGATTCAAAATTGAATGTTATTGGTTCCGCGCGAAAACTTTACGCAGTGTCGGGCAACACAGAAAGTTCTCTCTTGGCTATTTACAAATTACATTTAAAACGTTCGCAATATTATACAATTAAAATTATGTACAACTGGTGTTTCCTACTTCCTTTCAGAGCATGCCTTAAGGGCAGCTCTGAATCCCTCAACGGTGTTGGCCGATGAAACTGATGTTGGTAAGTTGTTCCAATCCCTGATGGTCCTCGGGAAGAAAGATTGGCCGTAGGCGTCTGTACTTGTTCTTTCTTGGTAGAAGCGGTTTTTACCTCTGGTCCGGTTATCATTTGGGGTTAAATATTGGTGACAGTCTATGTCTATAAGATCATGCTGGATCTTGAATAGCATGCATAGTCTGTTTGTTTTCCTCCGTTCTTCTAAGCTTTCCCATTTTAGATTTTTGACCAACCCTGTTATTCTTATTTGAATAATCAATAAAAAAAATAAACAGCTGCGCCATGTGCGCATGATACGCCCGTCATCTTGTGTGTGAATTTTTATGCAATAAGCATAAATAGTTTCTGACAAAACCTTTTGAAAAAGTAAAGAGATTTAAATTATGGTAGGATCTCAAAATGATTGCCAAATCATTATTATTGCAAAACCAAAGTGCAACTCTTCCACAGAGTCATCTCCTCTTGGTCAAGGTATTTAAACTTTTGTCAGTTCAATTGTCCATTAAATAAATGCAACAGCTATTGTTCTCTGTGTAGATTATTCACTGGGACCTTTAAATTTCTTCTAAGAGAAATCCATCACTCATTGATTAATTTACCTAAAACAAAAATTATCTTCCAAGTAGATGAAAATACATGTATTCAACTCACAAAACTGCATGTGATGTTATATTTACTCAATGTCAATAATATATTTTCAATCTTTTCAATATATACACTGATTTAATTATAAAAAGTTGATTTCTGACAAAATATTTAGCAATGTTGAAAATTTTGTTGAAGAGTATTTAGTTCGCAATGAACAAAAAGAATGTTCAAGGTACCTGAAAGTCATTATAGCTATAAATCATTTCCAAACTTTGAAAACTCGCCAAAAGGCAACCAAGAAATGTATTTAGCAAGAGCTGATACTTTGGAACTTGCCAAAAATTTATTTACATATCATACAGTAATCACACTGGCTCTTTGGACAAGTCGAGCTATAAATCATGTATGGAACATGTAGACTTTAGAAACAAAATTTGTCAACAAAGACTCGGAGTTCCAAGTTTTTCTTTCCTCAACATTTACAACATTCTATTAATTACAATGTTATATTTGCCATGAGGAATTAAGATTCCATTTTTACATAAGAAAATTTAGTTTAAACTTAGAATACTATATCTTTGACTTCTAGTAAGTTGCTTACATCTACCTCATTTGGTCTCTGGTAGTTTGTGGTCTCATTGGCAATCATACCACATCTTATTTTCATATTCGATAAAAAAAAATTAGATGTGTGTTGGCTACTGAATTTGTCAATATTCTAAAACCTTTTGAAAAAGTAAACAAATCTAAATTAAAGTGGTATCTAAAAATGGTTGTGAAATCGCTGTTAAACAAACAATCTTTATAAACTTCAAAAAAATAATTATGTGCATGTATGTTGCCTGCTGAATTTGTATATATTCTAAAACCTTTTAAAAAAGTTAAAAAAAAATTATCTAAATATGGTATTATTTAAAAATTGTTGCAAAAACATTATTAATCTGCTTAAGGTTCAATTATTAAGATTACTAAACTACAATACAGAAAGCAAGATAAATTATCATGGAAAACAACCCATAAATTCAATATTTATCAAGAAAGGAAGATCACCCACTCCTAGTGTTTGAAAAATGACATATGGATATAGGCATTCATTTACATCAATCATTCAGCTGTTTAAGCACATTCAAGGCTAATACTTTTCTTATTTTCAGCCACATTCGTTAGTTTGAATGAAATTATCTATTTACAAGTCATTCAAGTCGGACCCCCCTCCACTAAGCAGTCATTACAATATATACAAGCAATTGAAGGATTTGTAGATTTAAATTTGATTGTTTGTTATCTTAACTGTTTACAGTATCTCTCAAAACATTTTATAAATTTAATGGTTTCAAGATAATAATCAAAAGATGTTAAAATCATTGTTATAAATGGCCTCAACTCCTAAAAGGAATAGTCTGACAATTTTGATGGATAAGTTCTATAGAAGATCACATCTTTCTGAGCAATTTGCAACAGTTTCCTCGATAGGGTCTTAAATAAAGATCTGGTCTTCCTGATCATTTTTGCCTATTTAAGTTTCTACCTATCTATTATAATTTTCAAGATATAAGGCAACAAAAATGTATCATTAGTACATGGATGCCCCACTCGCACTATCATTTTCTATGTTCAGTGGACCGTGAAATTGGGGGTCAAAACTCTAATCTGGCATTAAAATTAGAAAGATCATATAGGGAATATGTGTACTAAGTCTCAAGTTGATTGGACTTCAACTTCATCAAAAACTACCTTGACCAAAAACTTTAACCTGAAGCGGAAAGATGGAAGAAAGGACAAACGCACAGACTGAAAAACAATTCCCCTCTACTATCGTAGGTGGGGCATAAAAACACAAAAAATTGGTAAAAATTGCCATCAAAGGGTAATACCTCTAATTAGGAGTCATCTGAAGATTTCAACCATGCACACTTAGTGTAGATCTTGTCTTGCTGATTATTTTTGCAACTTAAAAGTTTCTCTACATCTATCATAGTTTTCAAGATAAAATGCAAAAAAAATAAATAAAATGCTCCGCTGGGGCGCAGCTTGATACGACCGCAGAGGTCGAACCCTGAACAGTTGGGGCAAGTATGGACACAACATTCAAGCTTGATACAGCACTGAATTTGGATTGTAATTAAATATTTGACACTGCATAGGTTTCTGACACAGAATGAAAGTGGTCTAAGAACATAAAAAATTTTAATTTACCTATTCAAACCATATTATTATTTGCTTTTATATATAAATCAGAAATAACCAATTTAAAATGGAAAATTTTAAAGAAAAAAAAATTCCCCCCCCCCCCCCCCCGAATTTTTTTTAACCCCCTTATGATTCATCACCCCCAAACCAAATCCCAGCCTTCCCTTTGTGGTATGGTACCTTGCAGTACAATTTCAGATAGATCCATACACTTGAACACAAGTTATTGTCTGGAAACTAGAAAAATGCTTGTTTTTTTGGCCCCAAATTCCTAAACGTTTCGGGCAATTACCCCTAAACTCAAACCCAGCTTTCCCTTTGTGATATGGATCCTTGTAGTACAATTTCATAAAGATCCATACACTTACACACAAGTTGTTATCCGGAAATTAGAAAAATGCTTGTTTTTTTGCCCTTTTATGGCCCCTAATTACTAAAATTTTGAGGGAATTACCCCCAAAATCAACCCAAGCCTTCCCTATGTGGTATGGTACCTTGAAGTACAATTTCAGAGAGATCCATACACTTGAACACAAGTTATTGTCTGGAAACTCGAACTAGAGGCTCTAAAGAGCCTGTGTCGCTCACCTTGGTCTATGTGAATATTAAACAAAGGACGCAGATGGATTCATGACAAAATTGTGTTTTGGTGATGGTGATGTGTTTGTACATCTTAATTTACTGAACATTTTTCCTGCTTACAATTATCTCTATCTATAATTAACTTGGCCCAGTAGTTTCAGAGGAGAAGATTTTTGTAAAAGATTACTAAGATTTATGAAAAAATGGTTAAAAATTGACTATAAAGGGCAATAACTCCTAAAGGGGTCAACTGACAATTTCAGTCATGTTGACTTATTTGTAGATCTTACTTTGCCGACATTTATTGTTTTTTTACAGTTTATCTCTATCTATAATAATATTCAAGATAATAACCAAAAACAGCAAAATTACCTTAAAATTACCAATTCAGGGGCAGCAACCCAACAACGGGTTGTCCGATTCATCTGAAAATTTCAGGGCAGATAGATCTTGACCTGATAAACAATTTTATTTCATGTCAGATTTGCTTTAAATGCTTTGGTTTTTGAGTTAAAAGCCAAAAACTGAATTTTACCCCTATGTTCCATTTTTAGCCGTGGCGGCCATCTTGGTTGGTTGACCAGGTCACGCCACACATTTTTAAAACTAGATAACCCAATGATGATTGTGGCCAAGTTTGGTTTAATTTGGCCCAGTTGTTTCAGAGGAGAAGATTTTTGTAAAAGATTACGAAGATTTACGAAAAATGGTTAAAAATTGACTATAAAGGGCAATTACTCCTAAAGGGGTCAACTGACCATTTCGGTTATATTGACTTATTTGTAAATCTTACTTTGCTGAACATTATTGCTGTTTACAGTTTATCTCTATCTATAATAATATTCAAGATAATAACCAAAAACAGCAAAATTTCCTTAAAATTACCAATTCAGGGGCAGCAACCCAATAACGGGTTGTCCGATTCATCTGAAAATTTCAGGGCAGATAGATCTTGACCTGATGAACAATTTTACCTCATGTCAGATTTGCTCTTAATGCTTTGGTTTTTGAGTTATAAGCTAAAAACTGCATTTTACCCCTATGTTCTATTTTTAGCCGTGGCGGCCATCTTGGTTGGTTGACTGGGTAATCGGACACATTTTTTTAACTAGATACCCCAATGATGATTGTGGCCAAGTTTGGTTAAATTTGGCCTAGTAGAAGATTTTTGTAAAAGTTTACGGACGACGGACGCAAAGTGATGAGAAAAGCTCACGACCTTTCAGGTCAGGTGAGCTAAAAATGCTTATTTTTGGCCCCTTGTTGGCCCCTTATTCCTAAACTTTTTGGGCAATTACCCCCAAACTCAATTCCAGCTTTCCCTTTGTGATATGGAACCTTGTAGTACAATTTTATAAAGATCCATACACTTACACACAAGTTATTGTCATGAAACTAGAAAAATGCTTGATTTTTGCCCCTTTTTGGCCCCCAATTCCTAAAATTTGGAGACAATTACCCCCAAAATCAATCCCAGCATTCCCTTTGTGATATGGAACCTTGTGATACAATGTCAGAGAGGTCCATAGACTTACACACAAGTTATTGTCATGAAACTAGAAAAATGCTTGTTTTTTGCCCCTTTTTGGCCCCCAATTCCTAAAATTTGGAGGCAATTACCCCAAAATCAATCCCAGCATTCCCTTTGTGATATGGAACCTTGTGGTACAATGTCAGAGAGATCCATACACTTACAAACAAGTTATGTCTGGAAGTTAAAACAAATGCTTATTTTTGGCCCCTAATTCCTTTACTGTAGGTACCATAACCCCCAAAATCAATCCCCACCTTCCTTATGTGGTATTAAACCTTATGGTAAAATTTCATTGAGATCCATTCACTTAAACTAAAGTCAGAGTGCGAAAACTAATGTGTCTTCGGACGACGACGACGCCAACGTCATACCAATATACGACCACAAAATTTTTTTTTCGGTCGTATAAAAATGGTAAAATTTGTCATTTAAGGGCAATAACTCCTATAAGAAGTTGGCTGACAGTTTTGACGCCAATGAACAATTGGTAGAGCTCAACATTCTGAATATTTTTGATCTGTCAGAATTTCTCTATTAATAAGAGTTTTAAAATAATAGACAATACTTGCATTTTACACCTATGTTCTATTTTTAGTCATGTCTGCCATCTTGGTTGGCGCGCCAGGTCATCGTACACATTCTTTAAACTAGATACCCCAATAATGATTGTGGCCATGTTTGGTTAAATTTGGCCCAGTAGTCTCGGAGGAGGATATTTTTGTAAAAGTTAACGACTGACACCAAATGATGAGAACAAGAGTGCACACGCTGAAATGTCTCGCCTTCTTTACTAACCATTGATATTATGTTGATAGTCCTAAATGAAAGCTTTACTACAACTATTACATAAACTTAACATGATCCAAGAAAATGAAGTCAAGGTCATATAAATCAAACGAGAAATACATGAACACCTTACAATCATTCAATACACTAAATATAGTTGACCTATTGCTTATAGTTTCTAAGAAACAGACTTAACCAAGAAAACTAAACATTGACCAATGAATCGTGAAAATGAGGTCAATGTCAGATGAACCATGCCAGGCAGACATGAACAGCTTACAATCCTTCCATACAACAAATATAGCTGACCTATTGCTTATAGTTTAAGAAAAACAGACTGAAACACATAAACTTAACACTGAGCAATGAACAGTGAAAATGAGGTCAAGGTCAAATAAAACCTGCGAGACTGACATGTACATCATAGAATATTTCCATACACCAAATATAGTTGACTTATTGCATATAGTATAAGAAAAAAGATCAAAACTAAAAAACTTAACTATAACCACTGAACCATGAAAATGAGGTTGAGGTCAGATGACACCTGCCAGCTAGACATGTACACCTTACAATCAATCCATACACCAAATATAGTAGACCTATTGCATACAGTATAAGAAAAACGGACCAAAACACAAAAACTTAACTATAACCACTGAACCATGAAAATGAGGTCAAGGTCAGATGACACCTGCCAGTTGGACATGTACACCTTACAGTCCTTCCATACACCGAATATACTAGACCTATTGCTTATAGTATCTGAGATATGGACTTGACCACCAAAACTTAACCTTGTTTAATGATCCATGAAATGAGGTCGAGGTCAAGTGAAAACTGTCTGACAGGCATGAGGACCTTGCAAGGTACGCACATACCAAATATAGTTATCCTATTACTTATAATAAGAGAGAATTTAACATTACAAAAAATCTGAACTTTTTTTTCACTGAACCATGAAAATGAGGTCAAGGACATTGGACATGTGACTGACGGAAACTTCGTAACATGAGGCATCCATATACAAAGTATGAAGCATCCAGGTCTTCCACCTTCTAAAATATAAAGCTTTTAAGAAGTTAGCTAACGCCGCCGCCGGATCACTATCCCTATGTCGAGCTTTCTGCGACAAAAGTCGCAGGCTCTACAAAAACTCATTTGGCCCTTTGGGCCAGGTGAGCTAAAAATGTGTATGCTGTTATTACCATCAAATTCTGCCATCTTCTCACAAAATTTAAAATCTCCAATCACTTTTTTAAACTGAGGTTGGTTAACAAGTGTTGTAAACCATCTGTTGACATTTGTGAAAGACTCTACAAACTTGGGATCTAAAACCTGTAACAACAATTAACCTTTATCAAGTCAAAATTAACATTATCAAATTACTCTGAAAACAAAGTAAAAGTATTTTAACTCAACCATATATTAAACAATTGCTTTACCTGGATGTGTTATGTATGATGCAGGACCATTTTTGTAATCAATGCATCTTATCAATGTTTATATTAATATAGAAGTGTCATCTGAATATCAAAGTTTCATAAATACAGTAGATAAAAGTTAACTAGAGCACCTTTTGTAGCTTACTATGCTGTATGGGTTTTGATCATTGTTGAATGCCATACAGTGACTGATAGTTGTTACTTTCAACATCATTTGGTCTCTGGTGGAAAGTTGTCTCATTGACAATCATACCACATATTATTATTGTTATATAGAGGGGATAGCACCTGTGGAAAGTTTGCAACGGTAGATGTGTATCATTTCAAATAGGTTGTAGATGTGTATTATTTCAAATAGGTTGTAGATGTGTATTTATTTCAAATAGGTTGTAGATGTGTATTATTTCAAATATGTATTTAATCACAGCTTTGGTGTTTTTCCCTAAACCATTGTCTCATCAGCAATTATCAATAAAATGCTCCGCAGGGCGCAGCTTGATACGACCGCAGAGGTCGAACCCTGAACAGTTGGGGGAAGTATGGACACAACATTCAAGCTTGATACAGCTTTGGATTTGGATTGTGATTAAATATTTGACACAGCATAGGTTTCTAACACAGATTGAATGTGGTCTAAGAACTTAAAAATTTTAAATTGGACATTCACCTATTATGGTCCAATATCCAAAATCTAAATACATGGTTAGATTCAGCATATCAAAGAACCCCAAGAATTCAATTTTTGATGAAATCAAACAAAGTTTAATTTTGGACCCTTTTGACCTCAATGTGGACAAAGTTGATAACGGGGCCCAAAAATCAAAAATCTAAATACATGGTTAGATTCAGCATATCAAAGAACCCCATATATTCAATTTTTGTTGAAATCAAACAAAGTTTAATTTTGGACCCCGATTTGGACCAACTTGAAAACTGGGCCCATAATCAAAAATCTAAATACATGTTTAGATTCAGCATATCAAAGAACCCTAAGAATTCAATTTTTGTTAAAATCAAACTAAGTTTAATTTTGGACCCTTTGGACCTTAATGTAGACCAATTTGAAAACGGAACCAAAAATTAAGAATCTAAATACACGGTTAGATTCGGCATATCAAAGAACCCCAATAATTCAATTTTTGATGAAATCAAACAAAGTTTAATTTTGGACCCTTTTGACCTCAATGTGGACAAAGTTGATAACGGGGCCCAAAAATCAAAAATCTAAATACATGGTTAGATTCAGCATATCAAAGAACCCCATATATTCAATTTTTGTTGAAATCAAACAAAGTTTAATTTTGGACCCCGATTTGGACCAACTTGAAAACTGGGCCCATAATCAAAAATCTAAATACATGTTTAGATTCAGCATATCAAAGAACCCTAAGAATTCAATTTTTGTTAAAATCAAACTAAGTTTAATTTTGGACCCTTTGGACCTTAATGTAGACCAATTTGAAAACGGAACCAAAATTTAAGAATCTAAATACACGGTTAGATTCGGCATATCAAAGAACCCCAATAATTCAATTTTTGATGAAATCTAACAAAGTTTAATTTTGGACCCTTTGGACCTCAATGTGGACCAATTTAAAAACGGGGCCCAAAATCCAAAAACTAAATACACGGTTAGATTCAGCATATTAAAGAACCCCATGAAATCAAGAATAAAACCCCATTGAAATTGGTCAAGAAATAAGCAATTTATAGGAAGTATCTTCTTTTGCACAATCCTGTGCTATTAAATATTTCTTGCTATTGCGCAATACTGTACAATTGACAATTTCTTGCTATTGCGCAATATTGTGCTATTGGATATTTCTTGCTATTGCGCAATACTGTGCAATTGAAGATTTCTTGCTATTGCGCAATACTGTGCAATTGAAGATTTCTTGCTATTGTGCAATACTGTGCAATTGAAAATTTCTTGCTATTGCACAATACTTATTATATAATAATTTACACATCCTGTTTGGTGTGTATCTCCTACCATATCATTATTATTTGATTTTAAATATAAATCAGAAATAACCAACTTAAAATGGAAAATTTTAAAAGAAACAAAAAAGGAAAAAAAGAAAAAAAAGGAAAAAAAAATAAATCCCCCCCAAAATTTTTTGAACCCCCATTATGATTCATCACCCCCAAACTCAATCCCAGCCTTCCCTTTGTGGTATGGTACCTTGCAGTACAATTTCAGAGAGATCCATACACTTCAACACAAGTTATTGTCTGGAAACTAGAAAAAAATGTGTTTTTTGGCCCCTTTTTGGCCCCAAATTCCTAAACGTTTAGGGCAATTACCCCCAAACTCAAACCCAGCTTTCCCTTTGTGATATGGAACCTTGTAGTACAATTTCAGAAAGATCCATACACTTACACACAAGTTATTGTCATGAAACTAGAAAAATGCTTGTTTTTTGCCCCTTTTTTGGCCCCTAATTCCTAAAATTTTGAGGCAATTACCCCCAAAATCAATCCCAACATTCCTTTAGTGATATGGAACCTTGTGGTACAATGTCAGAGAGATCCATACACTAACACACAAGTTATGTCTGGAAGTTACAAAAATGCTTATTTTTGGCCCCTAATTCCTTTACTGTTATTACCATAACCCCCAAAATCAATCCCAACCTTCCTTTTGTGGTATTGAACCTTGTGGTAAAATTTCATAAAGATCCATTCACTTAAACTAAAGTTAGAGTGCGAAAACCAATGTGTCTTCGGACGACGCCGGACGACGAAGACGACGACGACGCCAACGTCATACCAATATACGACCACAAAATTTTTTTTGCGGTCGTATAAAAATCACTTTTTTCATATGTTTTTCATGTAAAATTTTGATAATTTCTATTGCAACCTTAAACTGTAGTTTTAAAATAATCAAATATACAGAAAGCTCTGTTTATTTCTTTCTGTGCCCATCCCATGTAAGGGGCCTGTGATAATTTATTTTTTATTGATTAAGGTCCTTCATATTTGTTTTTAGTAAATGTATTATTACTAATTAAGCAGTTAGTTTTCTTGTTTGAATTGTTATATATTGAACAAACTCGGACTACGATTAGTAGATAGTGTGGTTAACGTTTTTTTCCGACTTTTAAATTTGTTTACTTAATACAAGAAATAATTGTAACAGGATGCTGTTACGAAGTCTCCCAAACAAAGCTCCCATAATTAGTAATTCCCATGGTGGCCTGACATTGGGCAGTCCAGTACAAATTGGTTTGGTCTAGAAAAGTGATATGCATAAGTGACGCCTAGGGATTAACCCTGTATGTCATACAAGTTCTCAAACAGGATGGGGTGGGGGTGACCCCCAGGGACTCCCCCTATATTTCATTAGATTTGTTTTATAGTCCCATACAAGAATATATATGGTTAAGGGTTGGGGATCTCGACCGTTTACAAGTTCTCAAACAGGAGGGGGTGAGGGTGACCCCCAGGGACTCTCCCTATATTTCATTTGATTTGTTTTATTGTCCCATACAAGAATATATATGGTTTCAAGGTGGGGATCTCGACTGTTTACAAGTTCTCGAACAGGATGGGGTGGGGGTGACCCCCATAGACTCCCCCTATATTTCATTTTTGTTTTATTGTCCCGTACAAGAATATATATGGTTTTCTGGGTGGGGATCTCAACCGTTTACAAGTTTTCAAAAAGAAGGGGGTGGGGGTGACCCCCGTTAACTTCCCCTATATTTCATTTGATTTGTTTTATTGTCCCATTCAAGAATATATATGGTTTAGGGATGGGGATCTCGACCGTTTACAAGTTCTCAAACAGGACGGGGTGGGGGTGACCCCCAGGGACTCCCCTTATATTTCATTTGATTTGTTTTATTGTCCCATACAAGAATATATATGGTTTTGGGGTGGGGATCTCAACCGTTTACAAGTTCTCAAACAGGAGGGGGTTTTACTTGTTTTAAAGTTAGGAGTGACACCCAGGGGCTCCCCCTATATTTCATTTCATTTGTTTTATTGTCCCATAAAAGAATATATATGGTTTCAAGGTGGGGATCTCGACCGTTTACAAGTTCTCAAACAGGAGGGGGTGGCGGTGACCCAGAGTGGCTCGCTATATTTCTTTCGATTTGTTTTATCCCATACATGAATATATATGGTTTAGGTGTGGGGATCTCGACTGTTTACAAGATAAAAGCCCATTCTCCAATTGAAGGGGGGAGGGGGGGCTGGGTGACCCCAGGGACTCAACCTATATTTTATTTTATTTGCTTTATTGTCCTGTGATCATTACTGAAGACCGCGTGTGTCTATCACTTACTGTTTTCAAGTTATAGTCATTTGAAAATTAAAAAAAATAAAATCCCATATGGTTCTTTAGTAAATCCCTCCCTTCTGTAGGCCCCTCAAAATACCCATAATTAGACCCCAAGAAGAAAAATAATAAGTACTGAGTAAAAACAACAAGTCTCCAAACTTTGTTTGGGAGACTTTATAACAAATAGTATATACCAGTGTATACGTTATAGTCCAATTTTGTAATAGGCCGAGTTTGTTATAGTTTGAGTCTGTTATGGGCAGAGATGAGATACCAGGTTACTTTCAATACACTCGGGCTTTTACGTCTTTAATAAACATTTGTAAAAATCGTAGTAAAAATAGCATCATAATGTTCATTCATGAAATATTTTAAACACAGTATTTATTTTCTCTTCAACCGGAGGACAGGAGGAAACCCCTGAAACCGGGATTATTGTACTCCCGTCGGGAGGTACACATATATGGATCTCACGCATGTCTGGGGAATACCAACTAGAGGCTCTCAAGAGCCTGTGTCGCTCACCTGATTCTACTTTGGTTTTGGAAATCATGTAAAAATAGATTAAAATCATAACAGATACCCTAATAATGAGCCAGGCCAAATTTGGTTTAATATTGGTCCTGTTATTTAATAAAAAATCCTGGTGGCCATCTTGAACAGTAAATCTGCAACAAAGTAGCAACACTTCATCAGCAACTCATAAGAAACATATATGCCATGTTTGATTTCATTCCATTCAGTGCACCTCTAGAAGAAGCATTTGTATGTATTTCCCATAGGGTCTTATGTTAAAGGACGTCCCCCCACTGGCGGCCATCATGGATGAAGGATCAGCTTCAAAGTAACAACACTTAGTCAGCACCTCATAAGGAACATTCATGCCATGTTTGGTTTCAATCCATTCAGTATGTGGTTCTCTAAAAGAAGACATTTGTATGTATTGTCCATAGGGTCCTTTGTTAAACATTGTCCCCCAGCTGGCGGCCATCTTGGGTGATGGATCAGCTTCAAAGTAACAGCACTTGGTCAGCACTTCATAAGGAACATTCATGCCATGTTTGGTTTCATTCCATTCAGTGGTTCTCTAAAAGAAGACATTTGTATGTATTTCCCTTAGGGTCCTATGTTAAACTAAGTCCCCTGCTGGCGGCCATCTAGGATTATGGATCGGCTTCAAAGTAACAACACTTGGTCAGCACCTCAAAAGGAACATGCATGCCATGTTTGGTTTCATTCCATTCAGTGGTTCTCTAAAAGAAGATATTTGTATGTATTTCCCATAGGGTCCTATGTTAAACTAAGTCCTCCGCTGGCGGCTCTCTTGGATTATGGATCGGCTTCAAAGTAACAACACTTGGTCAGCACCTCATAAGGAACATTCATGTCATGTTTGATTTCATTCCATTCAGTGGTTCTCTTAAAGAAGACATTTTCAAATATTTCCCATAGGGTCCTATGTTAAACTAAGTCCTCTGCTGGCGGCCATCTTGGATTATGGATCAGCTTCAAAGTAATAACACTTGGTCAGCACCTCATAAGGAACATTCATGCCATGTTTGGTTTCATTCCATTCAGTGGTTCTCTAAAAGAAGACATTTGTATGTATTTCCCATAGGGTCCTATGTTAAACTAAGTCCCCAACTGGCGGCCATCTTGGATGATGGATCGGCTTCAAAGTAACAACACTTGGTAAGCACCTCATAAGGAACATTCATGCCATGTTTGGTTTCATTCCATTCAGTGGTTCTCTAAAAGAAGACATTTGTATGTATTTCCCATAGGGTCCTATGTTAAACTTAGTCCCCCGCTGGTGGCCATCTTGGATGATGGATCGGCTACAAAGTAACAACACTTGGTAAGCACCTCATAAGGAACATTCATGCCATGTTTGGTTTCATTCCATTCAGTGGTTCTCTAAAAGAAGACATTTGTATGTATTTCCCATAGGGTCCTATGTTAAACTTAGTCCCCCGCTGGCGGCCATCTTGGATGATGGATCGGCTACAAAGTAACAACACTTGGTAAGCACCTCATAAGGAACATTCATGCCATGTTTGGTTTCATTCCATTCAGTGGTTCTCTAGAAGTTCAAAATGTAATAAAATGCTCCGCAGGGCGCAGCTTGATACGACCGCAGAGGTCGAACCCTGAACAGTTGGGGCAAGTATGGACACAACATTCAAGCTTCATACAGCTCTGAATTTGGATTGTGATTAAATATTTGACACAGCATAGGTTTCTGACACAGAATGAATGTGGTCTAAGAACTTAAAAATTTTAAATTGGACATTCACCTATTATGGTCCAATATCCAAAATCTAAATACATGGTTAGATTCAGCATATCAAAGAACCCCAAGAATTCAATTTTTGATGAAATCAAACAAAGTTTAATTTTGGACCCTTTTGACCTCAATGTGGACAAAGTTGATAACGGGGCCCAAAAATAAAAAATCTAAATACATGGTTAGATTCAGCATATCAAAGAACCCCATATATTTAATTTTTGTTGAAATCAAACAAAGTTTAATTTTGGACCCCGATTTGGACCAACTTGAAAACTGGGCCCATAATCAAAAATCTAAATACATGTTTAGATTCAGCATATCAAAGAACCCTAAAAATTCAATTTTTGTTAAAATCAAACTAAGTTTAATTTTGGACCCTTTGGACCTTAATGTAGACCAATTTGAAAACGGAACCAAAAATTAAGAATCTAAATACATGGTTAGATTCGGCATATCAAAGACCCCCAATAATTCAATTTTTGATGAAATCAAACAAAGTTAAATTTTAGACCCTTTGGACCTCAATGTGGACCAATTTAAAAATGGGGCCCAAAATCCAAAAACTTAATACATGGTTAGATTCAGCATATTAAAGAACCCCAAGAATTCAAGAATAAAACCCCATTGAAATTGATCAAGAAATAAGCAATTTATACGAAGTATCTTCTTTTGCACAATACTGTGCAAATGAATATTTCTTGCTATTGCGCAATACTGTACAATTGACAATTTCTTGCTATTGCGCAATATTGTGCTATTGGATATTTCTTGCTATTGCGCAATACTGTGCAATTGAAGATTTCTTGCTATTGCGCAATACTGTGCAATTGAAGATTTCTTGCTATTGTGCAATACTGTGCAATTGAAAATTTCTTGCTATTGCACAATACTTATTATATAATAATTTACACATCCTGTTTGGTGTGTATCTCCTACCATATCATTATTATTTGCTTTTAAATATTAATCAGAAATAACCAACTTAAAATGGAAAATTTTAAAAGAAAAAAAAAAAGGAAAAAAAAAAAAAAAAAAAAAAAAAAAAAAATCCCCCTCCCAAATTTTTTGAACCCCCTTATGATTCATCACCCCCAAACTCAATACCAGCCTTCCCTTTGTGGTATGGTACCTTGCAGTACAATTTCAGAGAGATCCATACACTTGAACACAAGTTATTGTCTGCAAACTAGAAAAATGCTTATTTTTGGCCCCCAATTCCTAAACGTTTCGGGCAATTACCCCCAAACTCAATTCCAGCTTTCCCTTTGTGATATGGAACCTTGTAGTACAATTACAGAAATATCCAAACACTTACACACAAGTTATTGTCATGAAACTAGAAAAATGCTTGTTTTTTGCCCCTTTTTTGGCCCCTAATTCCTAAAATTTTGAGGCAATTACCCCCAAAATCAATTACAGCCTTCCCTTTGTGATATGGAACCTTGTGGTACAATGTCAGAGAGATCCATACACTTACACACAAGTTATTGTCTGGAAGTTACAAAAATGCTTATTTTTGGCCCCTTTTTGGCCCCTAATTCCTTAACTGTTGGTACCATAACCCCCAAAATCAATCCCAACCTTCCTTTCGTGGTATTGAACCTTAAGGTAAAATTTCATGGAGATCCATTCACTTAAACTAAAGTTACAGTGCGAAAACCAATGTGTTTTCAGACGACGCCGGACATCGACGACGACGCCAACGTCATACCAATATACGACCAAAAAATTTTTAATTTTTGCGGTCGTATAAAAAGTTAATGACGACGACGACGGACACCAAGTGATAAGAAAAGCTCACTTGGCCCATCTGGCCAGGTGAGCTAATAAAAGCATAACGTAGAAACTGCTGTCTCATGTAGATGTGTATTGATTTTAATTTCCGCGCAGCGCAGATCCACGAAGTAGTGTTTGTGATAGCCATTTTCAAAATGAAGTTGAATTCATTTGAATTATCGATGAAAATTCAGTACTTTTTAATTCAAGCTGTAAGCTAATCAAAATAGAAGTAACTCAAAATTTTAAAAGCAACTCCTAGAATTAGTATTCAAACACTAGTACTACATTATCTAGGAGTAGACATAGTAAGATAGTCTGTCCAACTTCCAGTTTGAGGCAGATGCCTTAGGAAAGTATATTGCTATAGCAAGCTATAGCAAACTTTCCAAAAACTGACTCCATTGCTCAACACGAAAAATTGTTTCACATCAATAATAATGGGATGCCTTTTAAACTAGTTCTGACAGAAGAGCATGTGATCTATAAACAAATATAATATCCCATACAATTTTGTTCAAAAGAACCTTCTACTTTATTTTATAGGTGTTTACTCTCACAATATTGTATGCCACAGGTGAAGGTATTACTGATATTGAATGACCATTCAAATTCCACAGTTCTAGTGACCTAAATACAAAATACTAATCAGACTGTTATAATTTAAATATAAACATCAACAGATAGATACAATTTAGTAAAAATCAAAGGACCCTATGTTTTATTACTGAAGTTACCAAACTATTTTAATGTAGAAAATGTATTTTCGTAAAATGAAATCTTGTGTGTTTTAACACCACTCTCAACTACCTTAGCTATAACATAGTGGCCAGTTTTTATTGGTTGAGGAAGCTGGAGTACAAATCACAACCTCAACAGGAAAACTGGCAATCCTTTTAAGTTAACTCTTTCACTGATAGCCGGCCTGACAGAAGCTACTCTGAGACGATGGCTTCCCTGGCTATTATGACAGCGTGAGGTGAAAAGACCAAATTAATTAGGAATGGACTTACCAGTATAACTGACAAATTTTTGTGTTCAAATCTTACTAATAGTAACTTACATATTTGTACAGTGACAATAAATTGCAAGCAACACTAATGTCAGCCTGAGTGATGCGTTCTCCTACAAGGTATGTACGTGTCAGCAGGTAGTTGTCTAACACAGTCAGAACTTTTTTCACCTGTGCCTTAGCACGCTCTGTTTCCTATAAAAAAATATTGCACATCAAATTCTTGAAGTTTTTACAAATGATTTTTCATTTGTTCATTTTTTTTTCTTTAAAATTGTATGTTCACATTACACACATACTATAAAAAATAATGTCAATACAAATAAATATTTGTTTTAATTCATGCTTACAACAAAAGGATATCACCATACAGTTCTGAAATAAAACAATTATCTCTGCTGATGTTTGGTTAAACATTTACTTCTGTGGAATTTCAACTTTTTTTGTACATGTCTGTGTTTAAATTTAAACTGCAACAATCTTAAATCTCCAACTATAACTACAAATATCAGCAAATGCATGAACTGCTATCATCAAGCTAGATAAAATTGATATTTCAACAATTCAAATCCAAAAACAAGATGTGCAAGCAAATTTTTAAGACATGTTCCTGAACTTCACAATTCTAGCTCTACAGATATTAAAATGCTCCTCTGGGGCGCAGCTTGATACGACCGCAGAGGTCTAACCCTGAACAGTTGGGGCAAGTATGGACACAACATTCAAGCTTGATACAGCACTGAATTTGGATTGTAATTAAATATTTGACACAGCATAGGTTTCTCACACAGAATGAAAGTGGTCTAAGAACTTAAAAATTTTTTAATTTACCTATTCAAACCATATCATTATTATTTGCTTTTATATATAAATCAGAAATAACCAATTTAAAATGGAAAATTTTAAAGAAAAAAAAGGAACCCCCCCCCCCCCCCCCCAATTTTTTGAACCCCCTTGTGATTCATCACCCCCAAACTCAATCCCAGCTTTCCCTATGTGGTATGGTACCTTGCAGTACAATTTCAGAGAGATCCATACACTTGAACACAAGTTATTGTCTAGAAACTAGAAAAATGCTTGTTTTTTGGCCCCTTTTTGGCCCCAAATTCCTAAACGTTTCGGACAATTACCCCCAAACTCAAACCCAGCTTTCCCTTTGTGATATGGAACCTTGCAGTACAATTTCATAAAGATCCATACACTTACACACAAGTTATTGTCATGAAACTAGAAAAATGCTTGTTTTTTTGCCCTTTTATGGCCCCTAATTCCTAAAATTTTGAGGGAATTACCCCCAAAATCAATCCCAGCCTTCCCTTTGTGGTATGGTACCTTGAGGTACAATTTCAGAGAGATCCATACATTTGAACACGATGTTATTGTCTGGAAACTAGAAAAATGCTTATTTTTAGCCCCTTATTCCTACACTTTTTGGGCAATTACCCCCAAACTCAATTCCAGCTTTCCCTTTGTGATATGGAACCTTGTAGTACAATTTCATAAAGATCCATACACTTACACACAAGTTATTGTCATGTTACAAGAAAAATGCTTGTTTTTTGCCCCTTTTTGGCCCCCAATTCCTAAAATTTGGAGGCAATTATCCCCGAAATCAATCCCAGCATTCCCTTTGTGATATGGAACCTTGTGGTACAATGTCAGAGAGATCCATACACTTACACACAAGTTATGTCTGGAAGTTACAAAAATGCTTATTTTTGGCCCCTTTTTGGCCCTTAATTCCTTAACTGTGGGTACCATAACCCCCAAAATCAATCCCCACCTTCCTTTTGTGGTATTGAACCTTATGGTAAAATTTCATTGAGATCCATTCACTTAAACTAAAGTTAGAGTGCGAAAACTAATGTGTCTTCGGACAACGACGACGACGCCAACGTCATACCAATATACGACCACAAAAAATTTTTTTGCTGTCGTATAAAAATCTTATTTGCAACATATGTCCTTCTCTTGTAATTTAATTTTACATACCTGTTTGTTGTACTGCACAATACCTAGACATGGATATACCCAGGTACAAGATGCTGGAAGAATTTCATTGTCACCAAAATTAATCCACTGTAAAATGAATGATGCATCTTTGTCATTCTTACCCCTCAACTGAGTGTTCCCAACTAAAATAAAAAATATTTACTTTATGAATTTCATCAATAACCTTTGTACATGAAGTTATGTAAAACAAGATCAGTAAACCATGACCTTCAACAGGAAAACTGACAATCTAAGACTCCAAGTCAATTAAGATTGGAGTAGAGCACACCTGCACAAACTAAGTGTTGACAGGCTGAAGATCAATGTAGATGAATCATTCCGACACCTAGACCCCAATATCATGAGCATAATTTATAAATGATAGATGTATGTTCAACATCCAGTGGTAAATAAAATGCATATTTCAGGACGAGAACATGTTTATGTGATATGAATATGAACCCTGCTTTGCACTAGACCAACATGTTTAATTTGGGTTTTTTTTAAGTTCTAGTTGACAAGGTAACAGTCTGCAGGAAGAACTGTTACCCTAACTGGAATACATTATTAGGACTCTTAGCTGAATAGTCTTTACTCTTACTCCTACATGGCATGTGCTGAGCAGAGAAGCAGCAAATACCTATTTTCTAGTTTGGCCATCAACCTACTTCAGTTCAGGTAGGCACACTACCGCAAACAGACTGTCAGCTTGGCCTTGACCGACAAGGTGTGGATCAGTCATAGCATGCCTTTGTTAAATTGGTTTTAATTGGGCAAATGACGAGTCTTGAAGTCTTTAATTTGCTGGAGGCAGAAGCAAGAGAATCCCCACCTCAAACACCATGTATGATCTTAGGATCAGCCATCATTTCTAGCTTTGAGGTTTTATGTTAATACTCTTGTTTACCGTAGAAAGGCTTGTATAGTCCGCGGTTTTATTCTCCAAAATTGGACCTTCCAGACGGGGTGCGGACTATAGAGTACAATAAGCAAGAAATAAGAGAAAAATTTCAATTTCGCGGTCGAGGTGGTTTGTTTACGTTCCGCCATCTTTGTTATTTCTATTGTAGAGGGCGCTCTTATCATTTTTCAAACTAATAATTTTAACTCATCCATATTAATAAGTTATTTCTATTCAATATCAAATTAATACTGATAAATATAAAAACTAAACCTTTCATTACAAATTTCTCGTTTCTTTTCAATGCATTGGTTGAAATAAACTGGTATCTGCTCGATTGAAACGATACAAACATAGTGAAAAAGACAACCGTAAACCAGCTTAGAATTTGTAAACTACAAAACGAAATCGGTTATTGTTCGTTCCGTTTTGGTGTTTCATACTGACTAATATGGTTTGTATTAGCTTTAGACCCTTCAAACATTAATGTGATAGATATATTAAAGACTGTTTTACAAAAGGATAAAACTGTTTTACTTTCAAAGTCGTATTATAGTGATATCTGTTATGTACGGATTTCGACTCTCACCAGTTAATTTCTTCTTTTACACGTGCTTTTTAAACTTCCTGTTTAAACATACACAAGTTTCTTAATTGTTTTTTAAGTGAATTAAACTTATTTTAACAATCATGAAGCGTTCTAGAATCATTAACAAGCAGTTTCAGCTTCTGTTTGATGATGGAAAACAGGTTTTTCCAAGAAAATACCGCAAACGACCGCACAGGATTTGAAATTACCGGAGTTTCATTAGACCTTTTCTAACAGTTACAAAAAGTTTTTTTACCTAAAATTTCGTGGGGAGAAGGGGGTGCGGACTATGTACCACTGCGAACTATACAAGCCTTTCTACGGTACATTACAATTCTGAAAGTACATTGTAATAATAGCCTCTACCTTACCACAGTCACACCTTTTTTTAATTATACCTTGTATGTTCAATGTCAACAGTTTTTCTTGTTTAGCAAATATATTATTAGTTAATTCTCCTTAGACATAGACAAAAGATCAAGGACTAGGAAAGTGCCTACATCATTTTATACATGCACATTGCTTTTTTTTTTTTTTTGGCTGTCATGTGCATGTATCATTGTATGCATTCATTATGTAATTCATGTGAATAGACAATACAATCTTTTAACTATGAGTACATACGATAGTGTGCAATGGCATTGCTTTCAAATATGCAGTCTCCTCCAGCTGTAACAAATGCTGGAACCTGTAAAATAACATGACAAACATAAAAACTTACAAATTCATACACCCTTTTCACTATTTTTTTAATAACTTGAAAATTTTCATATTTTCCATAACCACCAATAATCATTCAAATCAAAACCTAAATTAGGATGTGAACAATAGCATTATTGAAAAGCTAGGTAAAGAATTTCTATAAAATCCTGTCAGGGATACCAGAAACCCAACCCTATCATTTCCAATTAGTAAATATTGAATTATCAGATAATGTTTTGTCATGGAAATTTTAAAATCAAAGATCCCTCAACACTCTTTTTAGATAAGCAAGGAGTGAAATAGTTCAAAGGTCAACTAATTGAACTATTAAATCATTCTGAAGTACATTTCTGAAGCATAATGTACTAACTATAAATAAATACATGTAGTTATTCTGAATATGAAAAAGCTTAAATGTATTAACTCTTTCATGTAATCAGAAAGAACCTTTCTCTGCCTTCAGTTCTTACACATTTGCCATTATAAACCAGCAAACATGCCTTTGATGAAGGTATAATCTTACCAGAAAAACATTCATGCATTAATAAATATTTGTGACTGGAGATTTAGCTAGCAACAAAGGATCAATATGATGACCTTCATTACAGGGCATCACCATGCATCATTACTCTTTTAAGATTTGAAGTTCATAGTTCATTGGATCTTAACCTGTTGCTCAAGAACCCAATAACTACCAAGTCCAAGCTATGATGATGAATTGTGTTTAATGTCCAGTGGAAAATATTACATGCATATCAAGAGAGCAAGTAATGTGATATGAGTATTATCCTTGCTTTGGACTAGACCAACATATTGAGCTTGATATTTCATGTGCTTAGTTTACAGGGTTACAGTCTGCAGGATGGAATGTCACCCTACCTGTACATATCATTGACTCTCAAGTCTATCCATCTTTGTTCTTACTCCTAAATGCCATTGTACTCAGTAAAGCAGCAGCAATTATCAATTTTCAAGTCTGGTTTGACCTAGCCAGGGGTCCAACCCTCAACCTATGTTACAAATGCAGGAACCTGGAAATGAACACCACAGAAATCAACGACGACGCCGATGTCATACCAATATACGATTTGCGGTCAGATAAAAATCACTCTGCATCAAATTTCTCAGCAAAAGGTAAGATACAAAATGTAGATGAAAGCTTAACCATAAATTCATTTATGTCATAACTTTCCTTAAATACATGTAGTTATTCTGAATATGAAAAACCTGTAATTTATCAACCCTTTCATGTAATCAGAAAGAACCTTTCTCTGCCTTCAGTTCTTACACATTTGCCATTTAAAACCTGCAAACATGCCTTTGATGAAGGTACTATCTTACTGGAATTCATCCATGCATAAATAAAAGGATTATGGACTTTCACCATGAAAATCAAATATTTGCCACCAGAGGCAAAGCTATCAATAATCGATCAATCATGTGTTGACCTTAAGAACCATACATATTTATGTATCATTAATCTCACAACTTGGACGTACAATGTACATATTAGATCTAGACAACCAAACAAATGTTCCATTTCCCCATGTAAAAAATGTATTTCCATGTCTCAAAATCTTTGTTACATATATATATATATGTATATCTCAAAAGTTGGGTAATATTAAATTTTTAACCCAAATTTTCCAAGATCCTTCACTGTGAGAAATTATAAAATAAATTAACAAACCAAACTCTTTCAAATTTGATGTCATAGGAAATCATCACAGCAAAAAATTTAAAGACCTTTCAAGACATCATACATGTAATTATTTGGGCTACTGCAGAATCTGAAGGTGAAAAAACTTAAGTATGCTTGGTAAACTGTTTGAGATGCCCCTCATCATGTAACAATATTATTGTATTGATTGATATGGATAATAGGTCTTCACAACAATGAGTGATATGCAGACTGAGTGGACAGTATCAAATGCATTTCAGATGTTTGTTGATTTGACCCTCATCTGCAGTGATGAAAAAATGGCTATCAAATTCCGAAAAAGATCTCATCTTTCTGAAACACAAATGCATTTAACTTTTATATATTTGGTTGATACTGGAACTTGAAAAGTTGAAGCTTTGACAACTGTTCCCAAATCATGCAAATAATTAGCCTGGGATCCTGGCCAACTGCTTGACAGTAGAGCCAGGCGGAATACAACAACATGGTTCCGTCAATTGGATGTTAGAATGATGCATCTTGGGATAGCGTCATTTCTTGACACATGGCGGGAAATATTTATATTGCCACAAATTTATTGAAAACTATTTTTATTTTCATAAGAAATGCAAATTTTGAAAACTTTAACAAATATAATCCAAGCGTTGTTGATTAGCATCGTGAATCAAAAGTTCGATCGATATATTCCTTGATTATATAATATGCACATGCGCATTAATTCAGTCCTGTTCAGCGCTGATAGTTGGTCACGTGGATTGTATTACGCCTGGCCCTATCGACGAAGTATTAGTTTGGGTCAGGATGCCAGGCTAGCAAATCATCAAAATTTACGACATTTGGTTCCTGATTTCTCTTTTTGAAAAAAAAAACAGTCTCAATACAAAAACTTACATTATGTAGTCACCACATACAATATTACTCATAATAGCGTCAATTTCAGGGTATGATGATAAATCATGTTATTACTTATGTGTTGCAACATTCATTTCAATTTTCAATTTCATACATGTACCATTTTTATAGTTTTTTCTCGACACAACTGTATGAAACCCATTTCAATTTTACATTGAATGACCGCATTTTAAAAGTGACTTACTTTTCCAAGCGGAAATTTTGATAAGAAATCTGCAGTCTGGTTGGTTTCACCAAATTTAAAACCACTTGCAAGCTTGATTGTTGTTCGACTGTACTCTGCAGCAATTTGAGCTTTAAAAGCTCTGAAGTTGTCAGGGAATGTGTATAGAGTCTACAAAATTAAAAATAGATGAAGATAATTTATCGTTTTTCAGATTTCCGTTAATATGTTTATTATATGAAGAAAGATTGCATTGATTCTAAATTGATTGTCACGTATGTCAATATGTAGTACCCCTGTAGCCATTGCACCGGTAAAAAAAGGAAGTAGATATGATTTCCGGGATGCCATGCGCTATCGGAGAAAAATTTCTTGAAGTGCCCGGATGTTTCGTCTAGAGTTGTCAATATCGAACTAAAATATTTAATTGATTGAAACAGAAATACAGTTTTAGAAGAAAATGGTAACATAAGTGCCTTATTGAAACATATTTGATGGTGCACATTTGCTACAACGTCTTTTTTGTATCTCATACTCTAAATTACAATATTTGTGGTTCATTTGTAACAAATACTGAAACTGGACAGGAAAAAGGGGGATTTTTAGGCAGTTAAGCTGCCTTATGCGAGCACCCTAGATTTGTGTTCTACCCAATAAATGCTGAAATACGTGCCATTGTTATTATCTAGCTGGATATAATGTTATTTATAACTAATTGAATAGTTTTTTCATACTTTTAATTCTGGATTACAAAAATATGACCAGAAAAAACCTTAAATGATCGTCGAACCACCCAAAAGTTTTGAAGTTGCACATAGGAAGTAGAGCACATTAGGAATCCTTATGTAGTTTATTATCCCCTGTGCTTTTGGCTAAGATGTCAAAAAACAATTGTATGAAATATTTAATCGCCGAAAATCTTTAAAGACAAGTAGTTTAGATTTCCCAAATGGCAAAAGTCGTAGGAATATTGTTTGTCGTCAATACGTGGTACAACTACGTCAGTAGTCTATTAATAAGTTCAACTGTTCATGCTGTTGGCGGCAATTTCAAATTAGAAGACGAAATTTTCGTATCATTTCAATTTGGAGGCAGGGGTTCAAATTAGCGGTGGTCCGAGGTCCGCGACCTTCCACTTTTGCAATCGGACTCTCGACTTGGTTACTAGCTACGCCCGACGGACCTTTCACTTGAAAGAAATTAAAAATAACTTTGCAAACCTTTTTACCAAAGTCTCTAAATAAACGATCTCAAAACGCGTATTTTCATCTTTATTATTCATAACAGCGATGTTCATTTTGTTCAACCGCTAGCTTTATACAGATAATCGCCGACAAGTAATGTGTAAATTCGAGTAAAATCGTATCTGACTGACAAAAACAACATCGAAAAACAATGGATGCCGTGTAGACAATTACAATATCGGGTCCGATTCCGGAAGCGGATAAGGGTAATTCCGGGTTTTGGAGATCAACTACAAAAAAAAAAAATTTCAGGCAGGTGACAAAATACATCTATGCATGGTAAATAAATATAAACACTAGAAATGGAAACCAAAAGATATATGTAAAAGAAAGAAAAAGCAAAAAATATTTGATACAGAAACTCAAAATTACTTTCTGACAAATTTTAATGTCCAAATCCAATACAATGTGACAGCTGGGAACAGTATATCTAACAATATATATGTTCCTGGTGACAGTATAAATCTTCTTTATCAGTGATAAATGTTGATAATGCATGTAAGATGCTTTTAAAGTGTAAACATATTACTGCAATTTTTTTCTCAATTTTGAAGGGTCAGTTAAAATAGCTGGAAGTTTCTTACTTTGTTTTCACAAATAGTGCAACTAGATTATATGATACCTGAATGTAAGCAAATCATATGATATATAGGTGGAATCTTTTGGGTCACTCTACCCCCTCCTGTTTGATAACTTTGAAACGGATGAGATCCCCACTCCTAAACCATATATATTCATGTATGGGACTATATAACTAATCAAATGAAATATAGGGGGAAGTCCCTAGGGTTACCCCACCCCTCCTGTTTGAGAACTTGGAAACAGTCGAGATCCCCACCCCTAAACCATATATATTCATGTATGGGACAATATAACTAATCAAATGAAATACAGGGGAGTCCCTGGGGTCACCCCAACCCTCCTGTTTGGGAACTTTGAAATGGTCGAGATCCCCACCCCTAAACCAAATATATTCATGTATGGGACAATATAATAAATCAAATGAAATATAGAGGGAGTCCCTGCGGTCACCCCACCCCTCCTGTTTGAGAATTTGGAAACGGTCAAGATCCCAAGACAAGACAAGACAATTTATTTAAACTTAAGCACACGTATGGTGCTACAAGAGGATAACAATTATACATTAACAATTACATATATATTTATACATTTACAAGCAAGACACACAATAAATAAATAAGTGATATCATACATTAAAATTGAAATAAACCATATTTGGTTGATTTGTTTGCAAAATTCTTAATTGCAACGTGGATATGAAGTTATTGTAACATGCTTTGTATTATGAAAATATTTTTTCAATATGTCTTAGAAACATGCACACTTTTGTTAGCAGTGGCACATTACAGTGTGATAATAGACCAGTAAGTTTCAATTGGGAAGGATTTTGTGTGTAATATGTAGGTATATACCTTTCTCTTAAAGACATAATTTGTTCATTGGAGCATACAAAAAAATAATGATCCCATAAACCATACATATTCATGTATGTGACAATATAACAAATGAAATGAAATATAGGGGGAGTCCTTGGGGGTCACCCCACCCCTCCTGTTTGAGAACTTGGAAACGGTCGAGATCCCCACCCCTTAACCATATATATTCATGTATGGGACAATATAACAAATCATATGAAATATAGGTTGAGTGCTTGGGGCCACTCTACCCCTTCCTGTTTGAGAATTTGAAAACGGTCGAGATCCCCACCCTAAACCATATATATTCATGTATGGGACAATATAACAAATCAAATGAAATATAGGGGCAGCTCCTATGGTCACTGTAAACCATCCTGTTTGAGAACTTGGAAACAGTCGAGATCCTCACCCCGAAACCATATATATTCATGTATGGGACTATATAACAAATCAAATGAAATATAGGGGAGTCCCTGCAGTCACCCCACCCCTCCTGTTTGAGAACTTGGAAACAGTCGAGATCCTGACCTCTAAATTAAACCATATATATTCATGTATGGGACAGCAGAACTTATCAAATGAAATATTGTCCTGTTTGATAACTTGGAAACAGATGAGATCCCCACCCCTAAACCATATATACTCATGTATTTGGCAATATAACAAATCAAATGAAATATAGGGGAAGTCACTGGGGTCACCCCACCCCCTCCTGTTTGAAAACTTGATAACGGCCGAGATCCCCACCCCTAAACCATATATATATTCATGTATGGGACAACATAAAAAATCAAATGAAATATAGGGGTAGTCCCTAAGGTCACCCCATCCCCTCTTGTGTGTGTTTTAAGAACTTGTAAAAGTTTGAGATACCAACTCCTAAACCATATTCATTCCTGTTCGTCATTTCAAACAGATTTGAATGACATACAAGGTCAATCTCATAGGCATCACATATGCATATCACTTTACTAGACCTAATCAATGTGTACTAGACTTTGCCCAATGTCAGGCGACCATGGGAATGAATAATTATGGGAGCTTTGTTTGGGAGACTTCGTAACAGCATTCTGTTACAATTATTTCTTGTTTATTATAAAATTTTATTGATGCAAAAAATGAGTAGGTTTAAAGACTTTACCTTAATTATATTTTGAATAATTTCTGGTTCTATAAAAAATTTCATTTTAATATGGCTCATTTTAAAGAAAACATATCTTTCAAGCCCAAGAATGTTTGACCAACTTTATTATAATCACCTGTCATTTTATTCCAAACTTAGACATCATGGACTTGGGGTGAAGGCGGGGGTTATTTACATTTACTATGGGCAGGTCAGTCAGACCTCACCTTTGATCCCCGTAGTAGTAAACATTTGTCTGATTTGTGTCTCATAACTTTTGCACTGTAGAACACAAACTCAGTTTTCTTTCCAGGGAAGCAAGTCCATGCATACTATTACAAGCTCGTACTAAGTCAACTTGAACTACTAACAGTCAACTAATACCAACGTTAACTATCAACTAGAACAACTGCAATCATTTCGAACTTGTACCACTGCAGACACATGACCATTAAAAATATACTTGATATATGCGTTGCTTTGGAAAACCTTGATAAAATATGAATTATTTGCCTTAATAATTAATTCATTAAATGAACGTAAATGCACAATATATGAATGTTTAATGTTTGTTCTTTTAAATCTTAAAAAAAATGAAGCAACATAGCCACAGTTTTCATAATTATGTTTGCCTTGGTTTTTGGTTAACTGCCTACAGCGCTTACAGTGCTTTGATTTTTAGGTACAACCAGATTAATTTCAAATATTTTATGCTAAACCGGGATTTTCTTCTCTTTAACTTAACTGTATAAACTATGAATTCTGCTAACGTGTAATAATTAATCACTAAAAGAGGAATTTTCAACGGATTTTACATCATACATGTAACAAATTTCCTTAAAAGGTTTGGACAATCAACGACCCAATTTATACCTTGTATGATCTGAAATAGCATATTATTTAATGTTAAGCAAAACTTATGTTAGATTTCACAGAAGTATTTTACAGCTTAAAGGTTGAATTTTTGGGTCACTTAAAAGGTGTTGGGGATACATGTAATATTTTTTTTGGTCATTTAATAATTAATTATTAAATGTTAATTATGTATGATTACTAGTTGTTAATTGGTATTTTCAAATCCAAATTTGGTATTATTGTTCTGTGTTTGAAAATCATGGATTGATTGTTGTTATAACTAGCTTTGATGTAAATACTGCATGTAGTTAGCTTTGTATGAGTAAACTCAATGAAGATTTGGTATCTTCTAGATCTGCCTTTCTTGTTAATTCAAGTCTTAGATATATGAACTCTGCCTTAATTTTCATGACAATCTTTTAATCATGATTCATTTCATCAAAATAAATAATAAAACACTAAAAGAAACCTGTTAACGTTTTAAGAATGTCACTTTATTTTAAGGAAACATTAAAAAAAAACTTGTTTATAGCTGCACCAACTTAAACATGATTAAAATGTATTCAACACAAAACCAAAAAAAAGGTTGTGAATGTGTGGGTTTGCGATCATGATTTTTGACAAACAGACCCAGATTCCTTCTGCATCATAAATGTAAGTCCAACTGTTTAATCAGTCTGTTATTTATGTTAAGACAGTACTTGATGGTATACATTGTACACTAATGACACAAAAATCAGAGTTCTCCCAAGACCGATATGACACTGCGTTCCCACAGCGCCTTCAAAATATTTTCGTTGAT